TTAACAAAAAAAGTTTTTTGCTTTATTTATTTTCTTGAATAAATATATAATTATTATTTATAGTTTATTTATGTATTTTTTTTATTTTATGTAAAAAATAACAATCACAAAATTATAACAATTGAAATATAAAGCCACACACAATATTTGTGAAAATATTTATAATAATCAAAAAATATCATATACTTGAAAAGTATTCAAAAATTATTGTAAATTTATACGTTTTTAGTATTTCAAAAATTTTGTAAATTTTTTATAAGAAAAAAAAAGAATAACAAAATAAATCATAATAATCATAATCATAAATCGTAATCATAAAATAATTAAAGCGCTAAAAAATTGTCCTATTAGAGGCTTATAATCTTAATTTAAGTATAATATTTTACTCATACATTTATCGCTAATTTGTGTTTTCATTTAAAAGCTATGTCTTTCTTCATTTTATTTATGTTTTATTGCTAATTGCTTTATTTTTAATTTATTTTATCAATACTTGTTCATTACTTTAGATTTATTTCTAATTTTCTTTATAGAATAGAAAAGCTATTTGAGTATTGTGAAATCTTTTCTTAATGTAAGGCATATTAATTGTAACATTGGATTTTTTATTGGTTAACTTGAATGAGTTGTTATTTTCTATTGTGAAAACTGATTTGAATCAAGAAAAAACAACTTTTTTAGATTACTCTATAATATGTTTTTATTATAGCCCAACATTTATATTTCGAGTTCAGCAGAATGACAAATCCATTATTCACTGTAAAATTACGAAATCACTCCGATTGGTACACTTCGAAAATGTTTGACAACTAGAATAATAAAAGTGTCCGAAAAAAAATTAAAATTTTCAATAGCAGATTATGAAAATAGAGCTAAAAAAGGAAGACACATGTATCGGCGTTTTGAAAGTTTACATCGAAAAGTAACCAAAAGAGAGGGGGTTAACTTGCCCACTCCGGCACACTTTAGGAAATTTTCGGATAAAGATTCCTCGAAATCAGTGCATTCTAGATAAAAAGTGTTTTCGGCAATATTGCAGATGAAAATACGGGGAATATTTTGGTTTCAAATTTTAGCCCCCAAGCGAGCCACGAAATGGGTCTTGTTGGTCCTTTTTACAAAATATGGGTTAAAACTCCCTTTAAACGTGGTCGTATAAACATGCCATTAAATTCTTTTATAGATCCCAGAAGATATCAAAAGTCTAAGTCTTATATAAACCTCAGGAATTCATATATATTATAAACAGATTTTAGGGTTAAAATGTGATGTGATGTGACTTTATGGAAAATACTCCTATAAACCAACATTTTAAAAGTATAATATCAAAGACAAAATTATTCTACATCAAATTTCATCATAAGTCACAAAAGAAATTATATATCAAAAAAAAACGTTTGCATAAATGTTCCCAAAACGAAGATTTTTTGTTCAGAAATGTTCAAGTGAGTCAACAAAGGAGTTTTTTGGAACTTTTTCCAAAATATGGAAAAAAACTCTCTTTAAACGTGGTCGTAGTCTGTCGAAATTTTCTAAAAAATTAATTTTCCATCAAATTCTATTATAGGTTCCAGAACACTTCGAAAGTTTAAATCTTGCCTAAACTTCAGGAATTCATATTTGTATATTTAAAAACTTATTTTAGGTTTGAAGCCGTACTTTATGTGAGTATGAGTAAAAGCAAACATTTTAAAAGGATAAAGCCAATGGCAAAATTATTCTACGCCAAATTTCATTATATGTCACCAAAGAAAAGAAATCTCTATATACCTTTTATATCAAGACAGGTAAACAAGCTGAAATTTTCAAAAAAAATTCTTTTAAAATCTTAAAAATACCAATATAGGAAATAGGGGCTATACGAAGACATGGACTTGTATAGGCAAATTTTGTCATATGCCATTACAATATTCAAATACGAAACTTCCAAAAAATGCGGTGAAAAATGTAGCTAAAATCATGAAAATACCGAATATAGGAAAATACCGTTATATGGAGCCTTTAAGATTAATTGTACCTGCATAGACAATTTCACTTTCGGTCACAGGTTGTAGTACCCATTAGGAACTTTAAATACGAAATTTGAAACAATTCCGGTGAATAATGTTGGCGATCAAAATCACCGGAGGTACCATATATGGGTCTTATACGAAGATCTGAACCTGCATAGACAATATTCTGTCACAGGCTGTAAATACGAAATTTGAAACAATTCCGGTGAAAAATGTCGCTAAGATCATCAAAATACCGAATATATGAAGGTACCCTTATATTGGGGATATACGATATCGTGGACCTATATAGACAATACTCTACCAGAGGGTAAAGTACTAAGACAGAACTCCTGGTGTAGATTCTCAGACAGTTCCATTGAAAAAATTTGGCTACACTCATCAAAATACCGGGGGTACCATTATATGGGGGCTATATGATATCGATATATTTAACACGTTTTCATTCTAAGTAAAAATCTCCCTTAAAACTGCATTTTTTGGGGATAGTTCCAAAGGAAGAAATATTCTAGGTCGAAATTCAATGGGGGTCCCTGAACAAACGAAACTTATATACTTAATATGTACCATGGAAAATGTCATTAATTTCGGCTTATAAATATCCTTTTTTTATTTTTGGCAAATTTAGGCCTTTTTCCGAAATCGCTGCAAACTTTCTTATTACTTCACTATCCAATGGACTTTGGAAAATGCCAAGCGGATTTTATAGAAATCGTTTTGTAAATTAAAATCTCAAAGGATCTCGGTTTCTCCGTAAAATTTTTATAAGGCGTGTATGTATCCTTGACCATATACAAAGTGGGTCCCAATATGTTGTGATATATTTCGCAACATTTACTATAGAGCATGGAAAATTTGTAGACGGCTTTGGATTACTCCAATAAATATTGGTGTAAAAAATAAGTCACGTCCTTCCATTATTTTGGTGTAGGCCCTATATGAGGCCAAATACCAATTTCAAGTATTTTTTAAGTTCTGACTATTTTTTCTATATAATGTAGAAACATCTATATATGTAGAAATATCGCATTTTTGTGCAGGCTCCAAAAAAGGATATATTGGCAATTGTCGGGTAAGTGTTTCAATGCATTATGCAATTTACTTATTTCGATGCTCTTTTGTTAACATTTAAATATTGAACTTTTCAATTCCAATGCCTACGCAATATTCAACCAATTATTTGCATTATACACCTTATTGGTTATATTATTAACTAAAAATGTTGAATTTCCTTGATCCTTCATATTACAGACAGTGATTTTTTCATAGAGGCACAATGTAGATGATATATGTATATGAATGTAAATGTTAAGGCAAGCATAGCTGTGAAACAGATAAGTTGTAAATTATTTCTTTTAATATTATAGAACACTCAATACTCCTATTTGTTTTATTTTTATTAACTAAAGATATCATTTTCCCTAGTAAGTTTTTTTTATATGTAACTACAATAGGGGTTTGAGCGCTATTTTTAATTTTTTATTATTTTGAGCTATTTTAGATTTTGAACAACGGACCTATTTCTGAAAGCCATTTTTTACTTATAGGCAGATTTTGAAAGGTATAAATGTTTTAGGTGCTTTTTTCGAAATGAAAATATCTACATTCAATACGTGTAATATTATTATTATTATTTTTATTATTATTGTTGTTATTGCTGTTATTATTATTATTATTATTATTATTATTATTATTATTATTATTATTATTATTATTATTATTATTATTATTATTATTATTATTATTATTATTATTATTATTATTATTATTATTATTATTATTATTATTATTATTATTATTATTATTATTATTATTATTATTATTGTTATTATTATTATTAGTATTATTATTATTATTATTATTATTATTATTATTATTATTATTATTATTATTATTATTATTATTATTATTATTATTATTATTATTATTATTATTATTATTATTATATTAGTTATTATTATTATTATTATTATTATTATTATTATTATTATTATTATTATTATTATTATTATTATTATTATTATTATTATTATATTATTATTATTATTATTATTATTATTATTATTATTATTATTATTATTATATTATTATTATTATTATTATTATTATTATTATATTATTATTATTATTATTATTATTATTATTATTATTATTATTATTATTATTATTATTATTATTATATTATTATTATTATTATTATTATTATTATTATTATATTATTATTATTATTATTATTATTATTATTATTGTTATTATTATTATTATTATTATTATTATTATTATTATTATTATCATTATTATTATTATTATTATTATTATTATTATTATTATTATTATTATTATTATTATTATTATTATTATTATTATTATTATTATTATTATTATTATTATGATTATTGTTGTTGTTGTTGTTGTTATTATTATTATTTTATTTACTTATTTATTTATTTATTATTATCATTTCTTTTTTTTTTTGTAGAAAAAAAAAATTGTGACTATTTTGAGACGTGACGAAATAGCATTTTATACACACTCTCTTTTACATAAAGAGCAATTATTAACATAAAAACCTCTCAAACTGTTCAATAACACACAGAAATAACAACAAGTGCACTCTTATAATGGTTCCATAATTATTGATGATAATTTTTGAATAATAATACCAAAAAAAATATAAATTAAAAAACAGATTAAATATAATTACAATTTAAAATCACAAAACAATGTTATCACTAACAATCTTAAGTTACTAAGCTATTTATTAAACAATTATCAAGCCTCTCTTATTAAATTTGTCTATCAATAAACCTAATAGTAATAATATTTAGGGCCTGTCTCAGTATGACGATTTCAATGCAAAATCACAACTCCAAATGCGTTTTTCAAATTTTCGATTTAATTTAAAAAATCAAACATATAAAAAACTGGAATGGTGTTTTTCTTCCAAATTCACTTTTGTATCGTCATACTGAAACAGGCTTTTACATATTCTAAATTCTCTAACAAACACCATTGTAAAATGTACGTTAAAACTATGTGCGTACGCTAATTAATTTATTGCCATTACTGTATCGAACAGACCGCCGAAGAGCCGCTATAATGATTATTAAGTCTACGTTTCATACCCTCTAGGTAAATATCACGACAGAAGAGACCAGCTGCCAATGGAATGCTGTTCGGAAGAAACAAATTGATCAATAAGTACCATGGAAGATAGAAAAAAATTATAACAACTTACGAATCTGTACCCGCTCGTATCAGTGTCTTGAATAATGCCCACACCGGCTTGTGATCGGAGGTTATAATGGACGGTACAGAATCGTACAGTAGACACTGTACAAAGGGTGGTGTCGGTGACGGCAAACCGGGCACGGTACTTTGTCGTCGCATCATTAGACCCTGAGCTTGACGATACTTGTAGAGTATGCGATCGGTGTAGGCTGGGGCCCGTTGCTTGGAAGATGTATCGAAATGTTGTGTACCGGGATCATACTGAAATCAAAAAGAAATTATTAATAAAAATTGATACCAAAAAAGAGTAAAAAAGGAAAATATGTTATAAATTCAGGGATGTGAATAACTACAAGACAAATATATGGGGTTAAATTCAATTGGAATTGCAAGCCCAATATTGGTTTTTGATCTCTCGTATATTTTAACACTCTCAAAACTACTTTTTAGTTTCAAGCGAGTGCCAAATACAATAGCTTCTCAAAGGATCCTAAACGGAAAAACTCCTAGGTGCACCAATGAATTGATAAAGAACAAGTCTACTCACGTAACTATAAAGCTTTCAGTCGTAGTTCAAAAAAAATTACTTCCTCTCTCTTTCTCTCTCACCCAGGCTAGATTGCATTTTATTGTTAAAAAAATCAAACACTTACAATTTCGTTTTAAAACAGCCTTGCTCACAAAGTATATACAGGGTGAGATTAAAAACCTGCAACCAATTTCAGACTGCATTAATTTCTAAGCCACTGTTAAAATTTAGCTCATTATATTGTTTACAAGCGTACAAAAGCATTTTGGTGAGAATTTTAAATGTAAATAAATCTTTTGTGTCTCGTACCATCGCTCGGGTAAAGCCATTGAAATTCCAAAAAGAGCAAGAACTTACACCGCAACAGAAAGAAAATCGACTCAAAAGAGCTAAAGAGTTACTTCGCTTAGTCGAAAGTGGTGAAGTGCCGAATTTGTTTTTCTCCCATGAGAAAACATTCGTTGTCCAGAAGTTTGTAAACATACAAAATGATCGTGTTTACTTGCCAAAGAGGTCAGCTGAAAATGTGGACCTTCGGTTGGCCACCGGCCATGGTGATGTTGTGGGCCGCCACAACAGCCGATGGTCGCTTGCCGCTCGTATTAATCGACCGTGGCATCAGAAAAAATGCCGTATATTATCGCGAAAATGTTCTGGAGGGTGTTTTGAAGTCTTGGGCACGCAAACATTTTGGCCGCAGACCTTGGACATTCCAACAGGATTCAGTACCATCGGACTCGGCACGCGCAACCCAAGAATGGTTACAAAATGAGGTTTCTCGCTTCATTTCCAGCGCACAATGGCCACCAAAATCTCCGGATAGCAATCCATTGGACTATTGTGTCTGGAGTATTTTGGAAAGCAAGGTTGGCACTAAAAAATACCAAAGTGTCGATCACCTCAGAGCCACATTTGGACATCGTGTGACGGTTTCATTGGCCGCTTGAAGGCCATAATTCGAGCTATTTCCGACTTTGTTTGCTTTCATTCAATAAAAAAGTTCTGTTAGGGCATTTTGGACTATTCGTTCCCATAAAGTACGATAAGCGAAAATCCTACCTTAACTCAACCAAAAGTTATTCCTCTGAAAACTTGAAAGTTCTAGATCTTATCTATTGATCAGAAACATTATGTTTAAATTTTGGTACTTTTCGTACAGTTTTGTACCATTTTAAAAATTTTAGTATTTTTCGTATTCCTAATGTACTATGTACCGAAAATCGTACACTTCTACTCAAAGGATGACCCTCATGCAAAATTTCAAAGTTCTACCACTTATTGTTCGATTTTGTACCTTCTAGTACTTTCCGTACTATGGACGTACGAATTTCTAAAATATGCGGTCTTATATTACTACTCCACACCAACACTCATCTTCATGATTAAAACTCCATAACAATTTTGTGCCGTTTTGTACCTATTGATACTTTTCGTACTTTAGTGTACGAATTCACAAATGTCCAACATTTTTAACGCTCAGTAGCAACATAGTACCCTACCCTACCCAAACCTACCCTTAAAATTCGAATTTGTAAAAACTTGCCTTATGTCACCGCTGCTTCCACTCTTTCTGGGAAGTTTCGAAGTTATAGGTCTTACAGATCGCTCAATAACAGTAGTGTACGATTTTGTACTTTTCTACCGTACTTAAAGTACGAATCTCATAAAATTCCACAATTTTTCACCCAACTTCGCCATCTGCAAAAATGCAAAGCTGTTACCAATGATTCTACCATTTTGTACCTTTTTAGTACCCTTTGAAAAAATCCTATTTTATGTTACCAAAGAGTAACTCCAATACAAAATTTAACATTTCTACCTGATATCAATCGATTAATGACAATGTTGTACGATTTTGTTCATTTTAGAACCTTCAGTGCCTACATAGTACGATTTCCAAAAATCCCATACAATATTTCAAATTTTTAGTTTTAATTGATCGATCAATAGCAATTTCGTATCATGCTTAATCTTACCCAAAAATTCTCTACCACACCTCTGAGTAAAATTTTGATATTCTGGATCTTAAGAACAGTTTTGTGCAAATTTTGTACTTTCCCCACACTTTAATTTTTGGAATCAGGAAAATCCATCCGTATCTCACCGATCTCTACATGAAGAACATTTTCAAGAACATTTTCAAAATTCTTACAACTACCGATTGTTTATAATAGCTTCTTATCATTTTGTACCTTTTAGAACCTTTCGTACACTTTATTAGAATAAGAACATTTCAAAATACTATTTTGTAACTCTCTCTCCCCCCCCATTTCAACTTACCTTATAGGTGGGTGGAAATGTTATATTCGCCTCCATAAAACCACGAAATGCAGCACCATCAGCCAACACCGATGACAATTGATCCGTATGCATATAGCCATGTGGCAAATGTGAGGGCAGAGGAAATTTCGTATTCTGTATCCATTCCAACAACTTCTCTCGCGGTTCTCCCAAACGAAAATTGAGATCCCCACACCAGAAAACATTATCGAAATTCTGGGTAACATCTTTGTTTTTGTGCCGCAAATTGAGATTCTTGGGCAAATCGAGAGCATGGATTATACGCTTAACATCCGACACGCGTTCCTTGACCTTCTGCTGATGGGCCGTTAAATGCGAGGTAACGAAAAGCATCGATGTGCCGAACAGACAAAACGATATGGCCACGGCGCCTTTGGTACGAAATGCTGAACCAGTTCTGACCGACAAACTTGCATCTTCGGGTGCCGAACAATACCAAATTAAATCGCGTCGCATGTACACCGCCAGGTGGAGAGTGCCCAGAGTTGTTGAATGGAATAGCACATGGGATGGTCCCAGGGTCTCTTGTATGGTAACTTCCCATTCAAAACGATCTGGGCTAGACTCCTGGGTACCAATGGCCACAATGTCGGGAACATGTTCGACATTAGATGGTAACACAAAGTCATTCAATTCCCTGAAAATATACATCAACATTTGTTACACACCTGAAAGTATGCTTTGATATTTTCGACTTACTTGGGTGGACTTTGTCCATTCATGTTCCAGGTGCCAACAAATATTGTGACTTCCTTAGTGGGTAGAACTTTGTTCAATTCACTTGGCCCCAGCAGGGAAGAGGATCCCAAACGGCCATCTAAATAACTCCTACGGAATATAAATTCTTCATCAGTTTCTTGTTGAATTTATGTGAAACTCAACTCTCTTACCTCTCCCTTGCCTTTTCTGTGGGTATCAAACTCAGAACCTGGGCTGCCATTAAAGCCTGCCGCGCCAAACCCGTACTCGAACCCTGCCTCTCCAATTGCATATTGTCCTGGGACATAAAACGTATGGCCTGTGTCTCTGCCTCTTCCGTGGTAAATGCTGGTTCCGGTTGCGTGGCAATATTGGGCGAGGACATATGCTGGGGCGTTGTGGCCCTCTTTATGGCCGATACTTTGCCCTCTTCGGCTGGTAGGAAACCAGCTCCAAATGGTGGTAATTCCTTTCCAGGAGGATACAATTTTAGCCTCAGACGAGATCTACAGGCCTGCACGGCAATTGGCCTTATGGGACCATTTGCCACAGCCCCAGCCCCATTGGGGGTATCACTTAAATTACTACGTAAGGAAGAATTGGAAGGTGAGCCATATGAGCTGTCAACCATAGGAAATGTCATTGGTTTTCCGGTAACCGGACTTTGGGGAGCACTGGCACATTCTGTCAAATTGGCACTGGTGGCCAAACCGCCAGGAGGTTGCAGACTACAATTGGGATTTAGTATAGACGAATTTAGCGACAACGAGGCATTGTCGGCTGTCGTCCAACTCAAGGACATGTTGTCCCTGCGCACAACTTGTGCTGCATCTGGAATGGAATTGTAACGTACCGTCACCGGAGGTGTTGCTGGCTTCTTCTCGGCCTTGCAACACAAACTAAATTGATGGCTAAATCTATTGTGGTTTGGCGAACGATGCTTGGGTGCTTTCCTCAACACCACCTCCGTACTCCCGCCACCATCACTCTGCGAACCATCTGTGCTGTGGCGATGGATGTGGCTTTTGTTCTTCCCCGCCTTGACTTTACGGTGCAAATTGATGATGCCACTGCTGTGTGATTTCTCCATGTTCGCTGCATCCTTCATCATATCCCCCGGGGTGACATTATTGGGTAGTGTGTGACTCTTGGATTTGTTCGCCACATGATTCCCAGCCTCATTCAAAAGTGAGGGTGATTTCTTCTCCGAGTTGCACTTGGCAAATGAGGTGTCATGCCCGCTGCCACCGCCATCGTAAGATGTGCTCATATAGTTGTTATTGCCACTCCCACTATTGGCCGGTTTGTTGTTGTGCTCCACTTCAACACTTGGATGCGGTTCAACTTTTGTAGAACGTTTGGTAAGTAGGCCAAATAGACCTGAACCTGCTGATTTATTTGAATGGCGAGGACTTGAATTAGCGCTGGCAATACGCTCTTCACTGCTGCCGCGTTGCATGTTGGCTTGTGTGTTGTTGCTTTTTGTGTATTTGTTTCTTAGAATAAAATTTAGAATTTGAGCATATTTATAGAGCGAGATATTCGAGTTGTCGAGGGAGGGAGAGAAAAAAACGATTGGTGTTTTCTTATCAGGAACCAGTTAGTTGAGAGATTGTTTTGTTTGCGAAGTAGTTGTTAGAGTTATTTTGTTTTTAATCTGAAATGAGAGGAAGAAGATATGATTTTAGTAAGTATGGTGAAATTTGTAAGGTTATTTCGATTTTTTATATTGTATAGAAGAACTATTAAAATCTCTGTTTTTGTAAAACCCGTTAAAAACACGGTTAAATTCTAGTTTTCCTCCCCAGTTTAGTGTTAAACTCCAAAAAATTTTCAAAGGACAATCAGAGAAAAGAATACGTTTTCACATAACTGGAATTCTACACCGATTTCGACAGGTGGAACAAAATAGATCACCAGAATTTTCTTTATGCAAGGTCCAGAAATTGTAAAGAATTGTTATCTGTTCTGGAGATCTATATCTATCAAATCTATGAAGAAGCTGGGCTGTAATATGTCTCCTCTGACGCCATGGCACGCCATATTTATGAATATGTACCCATCCAGCCTTTAAATGCTTTCTCGTTTAACAACAATACGAAAATATAGAAATAACGTCCGAAATTCGAAAAATCCAAAACTAAAATGCAAGTAATATTTTCGCCAATATAGCTAAGAACTCTGCAGCCGATACCATGGGAGATCAAATGAACTTCACGTACGATTACAGACAGAGGACTATAAACTGGAGTATATTCCCAGAAAGATTGCCAAGAACGCACCCAGCGATGAAGGAGACAAAATAATGTACCATAATATTGAAGAATGCTAAACTCTCCTACCACGGTAAAATACCTTTGGCTCAGAAGGAAATTGTTCTCAGTCAGAGGAAAGAGAAGGAAAATAATATACAATACCATGCATAGTTGCGTTACAGAGCCCGAAATACAGGGTTAGATGCAACCAACTTCAGACTGCTGTCATTTCTAAGCTACTCGTCAGACAGCTGTAAAAATTATTCCAATGACAGCTCATTACATTGTTTACAAGCGTACAAAAGCATTTTGGTGAAAATTTTCCAGAAAAACAGTTATTCGTGATGGAATTTAAGCGTGATAGTGTGATTTTTTTATATCTGGCTGGAAAACCACAAGTGGCTATCGTTAGAGCACTCCAGTATTTAAATGTGAATAAATCTTTTGTGTCTCGTACCATCGCTCGTTACCGTGATACTGGTAGCGTAGCCCGACGTCAAGGAAGTGGACGGAAGACGGAAACAGCAACATCAGTAGAAATGGTTCGAAAAGTAAATAAGCGTCTTGATCGAAACCCGCGTCGCAGTGGCCGAAAAATGGCTCGTGAGCTGAACATATCGCAATTTTCCATTCGGCAAATATTGAAAAATGAGCTCGGGTAAAGCCATTGAAATTCCAAAAATTGCAAGAACACCGCAACAGAAAAAAATTGACTCAAAACAGATAAAGAGTTGCTTCGCTTGTGAACTGCCTAATTTGGTTTTCTCCGATGAGAAAACATTCGTTTACTTCCAAAGAGGTCAGCTGAAAATGTGCACCTTAAGTTGGTCACCAGAACTCAAGTGCCGGCCATGGTGACGGTGTGGGCCGCCATAACAGCCGATGGTCACTCTCCGCTCGTATTAATCGACAGTGGAATCAGAATAAATGCCGAATATTATCGCGAAAATATTCTGGAGGGTGTATTAAAGCCTTGGGCACGCAAACATTTTGGCCGTTGACCAAAACATTTTGGCGTTGGACATTCCAACAGGACTCAGTACCATCGCACTCAGCACGCGCCACCCAAGAATCGTTACAAAATGAGGTTCCTCGCTTCATTTCCAGCGCACAATGGCCACAAAAAGCTCCGGATACCAATCCGTTGGACTATTGTATCTGGAGTAGTTTGGAAAGCAAGGTTGGCACTAAAAAATACCAAAGTCTCGATCACCTCAAGCAAGCGCTCCGCCGGGAATGGGCCAAAATACCGTAGAGCAATATTCCGGCAGCGTGTGACGGTGAATTATGGCCGTTTGAAGGCCATACAAAAGTTCCTAGAAAAATTCGAATATGTATTCTTTTTTTAGGAAGTCACAAAGTAAATAGCCCGACCAAATCGAAAAATTATGGAGGCGATACCGGTACCAAAAAACTTTTTTTCTATGTAGTGAAATTTGACAAGGTAAATTACAGAAAATGAATACGCTTTTTTGAAATGACTTTGCTTTCTTAATGTTATCATTGTACATTCGAGAATTTTGTAGCCATGGTCATCGTCATAAAGAACTATTTCTTCATGGCAAAACATTTGGTAGAAGTGGACACAGAAGAACAAATTTTGAAGCAGTGTTAGATTTTTTCAAACATTGTCCATCAAAGTATTTTGCTAATTAACATCAGCTTCCTTCCCCACACAAAAGTTAAAAAATTTCCAAAAATATTTTTATACCCTCCACATTGGAAATGCGGGTATATTAACTTTGTCACTCCGTTTGTAACATCCCTAAATATTCGTCGTAGACCCCATAAAGTATATATATTCATAATCAGCATAAAATTCTAAGTCGATTTAACGATGTCCGTCTGTCTGTCTGTCTGTTGAAATCACGATACAGCCCACATTATTTGACGTAGAGCGTCAAAATTTAGCAGAACAATTTATATTATGTCTAGGAAGGTTGGTATTGAAAATGAGATATATCGGTCCACGTTTTGGTATAGTCCCTATACCACGGATTTGTCTGAAAATTGGTATTTGTAGGTCATAATGGGTTCTACCTCCGGTGGCGAAACATTGCATGTATAGGTCCACGATTTGGTATAGCCCCCTATAGCATTTAGTTTGAGTACGCCAACTCTGTACATAAAAAATCTGAAATAGGTCCTCGTTTTTGTATAACCCTTATATAACTTTAAAGACTCTTCTCGGTTTTAAACACCATATTTTTACAATTTGATATTTCAACCTATCCATAGATTTAACACTGTGATACAAAGTTGCTCATTGATATTTTAAATCAAAATATGTATTTTAAAAATAATTTGGAAAATGTGCATTCCGTCATATTTTCAAAATATGTTTGAACTTGCCGAGCTTAACGACTTTTTAACTTGTATTATTTTCTGAAGCGCACAACAAGCGTTCACTGACCTTATAATGTTTTTATAGTGAAAGTCTTACAAATTGAGGAATCTTGTCCACCCTGGCACACATACCATTTAAAGATTAACGAATTATTTAATGGAAGCAATTACAAAGGCAGACATCACGCAATCTAAATATATAACTATACATGCAACTATTCTTATAATTTCTAAAAATAAATCAGGATTTAATATAAATAATAAATAAATAAACATTAATAGTTAACGGAAAAATAAATACCTTTTAATTTAGATGTTTACATTGCATACTTTTAGGCGCAATATTTGTTTGTTGTCTTTCTTCAGGCGAGTATATGTATAGAATGCTGGTTTATGATCGTATATATCACTTAATCATGAATTAAAGCATATTTCAAGGCGTTATTTCACAATTTACTTTAACAACTATGTTTATCAGATTAATTTCACTTTATCAACTTATATTTCAAATATTTTAATAATAATAATACTTTTAGGTATTATTTATCATTTTTTCATCAACCATAACAAACACTCTTCTTTTATGTAATCCATTTGCAGTGCAATAAATTTCACTAAAAAATATTTAATTCTATATTTGAGTTGTGTTTGTTATTATTATTATTTTTTTTTTTTTATTCGACGTTATATGCAATTTAATATATTTTCATGTAAGTTTGTGTATTTTTCTCTCTTAGATTCAGTTGGGCGAACAATATCCCAAAAAACGCTTGAATATCACACAATGGCCATTGAGTAGCCGCGTCAGACTGAGCAAACCTTTTTTTGTTTTTGTTGACGAAAATACTAATGTCGAGGTCTGAGATTTTTTTGTTTTGTTTTGTGTTATGGCGTGTCGCTAGATTTCGCTTGCAGTTTGCTGCTCCGGTGTATATTCTGTCTCGTTGTTGCCGCTTTGCGTGACAATTTTTCTCATTTCGTCTTCAAAAAGAAATGAATGCTGTTGATGATGCCGCTGGCATTGCTCGCCACTGTTGCTGCTGCCGCTGCTGTTACGGTGTTGTTGTCATCATCGTTGCTGATGTAATTGTTTGCTGTTGCAGTTGTTTTTATTGTTGCTGAGATTTTTCTTATGCTAATTGGTCATTTATCTAAACACGTTGCTGTTGTTGTTGATATTTGTCTTGGTTATTATTCAAATTCTTGGCGTTTTTTCGATTATGTTCCTATTGTGGATAGACAAGAAGAAAAGAATAGATAAGCATTTCAATAAACGGTGGCACAAAGCAGTACTATGGAAAAGGATTGACCTTAAAAAAATCCGATGTTAGACAATAGAAGAACTGTCTTCTATTGATAGAAGTCCTGATAATTTTTTTTGGGTAGAATACAGACCTTCTATGGATAGAAGCCAGGTCTTCTATGGATAGAAGACAGTTCTTCTATGGATATAATACAGGTCTTTTATGGATAGAAGACAGGTTTTCTATGGATAATAGACAGGTCTTCTATGTATAGAAGACAGGTCTTCTGTGTATAGAAGACAGGTCTTCTATGTATAGAAGACAGGTCTTCTGTGTATAGAAGACAGGTCTTCTGTGTATAGAAGACAGGTCTTCTATGTATAAAAGACAGGTCTTCTATTTATAGAAGACAGGTCTTCTATGTATAGAAGACAGGTCTTCTATGTATAGAAGACAGGTCTTCTATGGATAGAAGACAGGTCTTCTATGGATAGAAGACAGGTCTTCTATGAATGTAAGACAGATCTTCTGAGAATGTAAGACAGATCTTCTAAGAATGTAAGACAAGTCTTCTATAGATAGAAGATAGTTCTTCTATAGATAGAAGACAGGACTCCTATGGATAGAAGACAGGTGTTCCATGTATACAAGACAGTTATTCTATGAATAGAAGACAGGTCTTCTATGGATGAAAGGCAAGACTTCTATGGATAGAAGACAGGTCTTCTAAAGACAGAATGCATGTTTTTTATGTATAGAAGACATGTCTTCTATGTATAGAAAACGGGTCTCCTATGAATATATGGCATATCTCCTATGAATAGAAGACAGATATTCTATGGATAGAATACAGGTCTTCTATGGATAGGAGACAGGTGTTCTATGGATAGAAGGCAGATCTTCTATGGATAGAATACAGGTCTTCTATGGACAGAATACAGGTCTTCTTTGGATGGAAGACTGGTCTTCTATGGATGGAAGACAAGTCTTCTATGGATAGAAGACAGGTCTTCTATGGATAGAAGGCAGATCTTCTATGGATAGAAGACTGATCTTCTATGGATAGAAGACAATTCTTCTATGGATAGAAGACAGTTCTTCTATGGATAGAAGACAGGTCTTCTACGGGAGAAGACAAGTTTTCTTCGGGTATAATAAAAGTCATCTATGGATAGAAGACAGGTCTTTTATGGATAGAAGACAAGTCTTCTATCGATGGAAGACAAGTCTTCTATGGATAGAAGACAGGTCTTCTATGGATATAATACAGGTCTTCTATGGGTAGAAGACAGGTCTGTTACCTCCCACACAAAATGTCAAAATTTTCAAAAAAAAAATAATTTATTGCCCAGAAAGAGAAAGGATAATCCGATTTGGCTCCAACTTTGCGAATCCTAATATTTTCAGGTCAGGTGCGAAAATATACAATATCGGTCCACTCCATCAAATTCCTCTCCCACAAATGGTCAAAATTGTGAGTAATTATAAATCTTATAAAATTTGATTTAATATTAAGATTTAAGGTCTCTCAATCGGAGATATCTAGAAATTCTTCTCTGTGTGGAAGATCGTCTATTGGAGACCTTTGAAAATTTATCTCATTACAAAATTCAGACCATTTCTGGGCACTTTGCTCCTCAAGCCACTGTACATCTGTTAACATTTTACATACATCGGCATGCCTATAACAATATGTATATATTCTCATACCGATATTATAGAAGATTTTGATTTACACATGCAATTTCTTCAAAGATTGTTAGGTGAGGGCAAACTCATGTGAGTTGATGGGCTTCTGATGGCTGTGCAGCTGGCGCTGCTGCTACGATTATACGGTGATACGGTATCTTTTTTTTTATTGTTTGTAATGCCTGTGATATTTCCTAGATGTCTGGCCGGCAGAGGAGCAAAAAAACCAACACAGATGTTGGCAAATGCTTACTTGGTCACAATCATTTTGAAATCTATGACGTTATTTCGTTTCGTTGAGGCATTTTAAGACGTCTTTCTTTGCATCATTTTTTTTTTGGGTTTTGTTTGTTTTCGTTTTAATGGGAAATGCCAATGTCACCATTGCTTCGAAACAAAAAAATAGAAACGAAAATTGGGTGGATCAAGTCAAATCACTTCTGAATAATTTCGATGGCATTATCTCATTTTCTGTTATGTTTTGATTTTATTTCAATAATCTGTTTTCACTCTTTCCACTGGCCATATACCTGCATCTGCAATACAAGGCAAATAAAAATTTCTTGTATTTATATATATATATCTCACCGAAAACGTTTTCATCATTTTTGCCCCCATCCATAAAATTATCATCCGTCATAAGCAATACGGAATCGCCATACAAATTAAACCGGCTATCGATTTGTTTATATATGAGGAATAAAAAAAAACAAAACAATTTTTCTGCACATAGATGGGATGATGTTTCTGTTTTTTGATTGAAATCTTCGAAAAGAAAAATCAATGCTAAGTGTCGACAGATATTATTCATTAAACGAACAACAACAAAAACACAATACCATAAAACTCGTGATGGCATCACCCCTACGGTCAAAGCGTGACAAATCAAAGAGAAATCCGTTTTCATTCAACACCCACTAAAACAGAGTGATACAAAAGGAAATCCACAATCAGCTGAGATTGAAATATACAATTTTTATATCAAAAATAATATTTTGAAGCAATAAAAATTAAAATGAATTTGGCAACAATCGCCAATGTCCAGGGCATGAAATATCTGTCCCCCTATGTCGTATACGTAACATGGAATTTTGCATTATTCATACCCACCAATGGCACCCACTAGAAAAAGAATGGATCTCAAAAAAAAAACAATAAATAATTATTGTGACAGTTAGTTGTCCACGTCTTCCAATAGTTGATTGATTATTTGAAATGCGTGTGCTTGGCACGAGGTCAGACAAATTTGTGAAGATACGGAAATACAGGTTTTAGTTTTTATGCCCTACACCACATAGTGGTAAGGGTATTATGTCTTTGTTTGTAAAATGGAGAAGGAAGCGAGATAGGCCCATAGTTACTTTTGAGGATCTTCATAGAATCACTTTCTGAGTCGATTTATGTATGTCAGACCGTATATCCGCCCATCCTTCCGTCAGTCCATGCATTTTTGTGAACAAAATGCAGGTCGCATTTATTATCCGTTTGAGATGAAATTTTCCAAACAATATTTGTTTGGCCCAAGGACAAACCCTATTGAAATTGGTGAAAATCGGTTCAAAATTACATATAGCTCCGATGTATATATTCTACCGATTTCGGGTTAATTGTGCACAAATGGCAAATCCGACGGAATTTAGTCTAGAAGCAAGTACAACAAATTTGGTGAAAATCGGTCCAGATATAACTAAAGCTCCCACATATAAGTTTCACCCAATTTGGGGTTTTAAGACCCTTACACACGAAATATATGATCTTTGGTTCCAGATATCAGATACATCTCAGAAATAAGTACCTAAAATTGTGTTAAGATTGGCTCAGATTTGGATATAACTTCCATATATCTTCAACTGATTTCGGGTTAATTGTGCACCAAATGGCCAATATCAGCCAAACAGGACTGAATTTTGGCACTTCCACGGAATTCAACACAAAGGCAAGTAATTCAAATGTTGGTGAAAATCGGTTCAGATATAGCTATAGCTCCCATACATATGTTTCATCTGATTTTGGTGTTTAAGTCCCTCACATGCGTAATATACACTCCAAACAATTATATTTGATACCGAACATCAGATACAGCTCGAAAATACCTCTGCCAAATTTTATCGAGATCGGTTCAGATTTGTATATACCTTCGATATACATCTATGTTTTTACGGTTATTATCTACCATATCTTCAACCGATTTCGGGTTAATTGTGCACCAAATGACAAATATCAGTCAAAATAGCTTGAATTTTGGCACACCCGACCGAATTCTGTCTAGAAGCAAGTACAACAAATTTGGTGAAATTCGGTCCGGTATATACAGGGTGAGCTGAAAAAACTGCAACCAACTTCTGACTGCTGTCATTTCTAAGCCATTCGTCCGACAGCTGTTGAAATTCTTCCAGTGACAGCTCATTATATTGTTTGCAAGCGGACAAAAGCATTTTGGTGAGTATTTTCCAGAAAAAATGTTATTCTTGATGGAATTCAAGCGTGATAGTGTGATTTCTTTATTTTTGGCTGGAAAACCACAAGTGGCTATCGTTAAAGCATTCCAGCATTTAAATGTAAATAAATCTTTTGTGTCTCGTACCATCGCTCGTTACCGATTATGTGATACTGGTAGCGTAGCCGGACGTCAAGGAAGTGAACGAAAGAAAACAGCAACATCAGCAGAAATGGTTCGAAAAGTAAAGAAGCGACTTGATCGAAACTCGCATCGCAGTGGCCGAAAAATGGCTCGTGAGCTGAACATATCGCAATATTCCATTCGGCAAATATTGAAAAATGAGCCATTAAAATTCCAAAAAGTGCAAGAACTTACACCGCAACCGCAAGAAAATAGACTCAAAAGAGCTAAAGAGTTGCTTCGCTTGGCCGAAAGTGGTGATCTGCCGAATTTGGTTTTCTCCGATGAGAAAACATTCGTTGTCGAGCAGTTTGTAAATAAACAAAATGATCGTGTTTACTTGCCAAAGAGGTCAGTTGAAAATGTGGACCTTCGATTGGCTACCAGAACTCAAACACCGGCCTTGGTGATGGTATGGGCCGCAAAAACAGCCGATGGTCGCTCTCAGCTCGTATTAATCGACCGTGGCATCTGAATAAACGCCGAATATTATCGCGAAAATATTCTAAAGGGTGTATTAAATGCTTGGGCACGCAAACATTTTGGCCGCCGACCTTGGTCATTCCAACAGGATACAGTACCATCGCACTCAGCACGCGCTACCCAAGAATTGTTACAAAATGAGGTTCGTCGCTTCATTTCCAGCTCACAATGGCACCAGAGCCTCCGGATATCTATCCGTTGGACTATTGTGTCTGGAGTATTTTGGAAAGCAAGGTTGGCACTAAAAAATATCAAAATGTCGATCAACTCAAGCAAGCTTTTCGCCGGGAATGGGCCAAACTACCGCAGAGCAACATTCGGGCCGCGTGTAACGGTTTCATTGGCCATAATTCGAGCCAAAGGTGACCAATTCGAACAAATCTTAATTTATTCTAAAATTTGATTCTATTTCCGATATTTTTTGCTTTCATTCAATAACATTTAAAAAAATGTAAAAATTATAGCTTTTGTCTTTGTTGCAGTTTCTTGTCTCACCCTGGATTTCATGGATTTTTGCGAACTTTAATTTTTTTATTTGTTTGCCTGAAAAACATTCCTACAGCTCTTAAAAAATCACCCTTTATAATGAAGTGCTCGTTTTAAATATTCCCCATAGCATTATTCTCAGTCATTCCTTTTATATATACTTCAAAACTCAATTTGAAATGCCCACTGTTGGCAATAAAACGACAAAATAATGAATCATACCACCGGCAACAGCAATACCAACACAACCCAGAAACTGGACGTTATGTACATATGTAAATGCCTTATGTACACATGTATGTAGGCATACGTACATCAACATGTATGCGATTGCAACACGCCAACATCAATGCGATTGTGGGGACTAGGACTTTCTTTTTTTATAATACCCCATCTACACTTGAGGCCTCTCGACACCCACACTCTTTGTATGTGGCGGAGGTATGTACGAATAAAATAAAATAAAGGATCAACAGAACATTTAAAACAAAATCCATTTCTTTGTGGAAAAAAGAGGTCAATACAGCAAACATCGTGACATACCGCCTTTGCCAAAAAGAAACCATGGTAATGGTTTAGCCGCAACAGCAGCAGCGGCGGCGGCAACGGCGACGGCTTGTAATGGGACATAAACAAATACCAACATGCATGCCTACATACATACATACATACACATACAAATGTGCGGTGTGGGTTTTGTGGTGGTGGTAAATGGTAACATTTGGAGTTTTGTTGTTACCCGAAGGACCAGGCCAAGCTGACTCACATGGGCGAAAGTGGAATATTTTATGTAGCCAAGACAAATGGCTTTGAAGTGGTGATTTACCAACGAGGGGGTTGCTTTTCAATGTGGTCGAAGGTTTGAAGGTTTGGCAGCAAGACGAAAATCATAATAATTGGCGCCAACATTGCCATAAAGGAAGCAACTCATAGCGTCATCGTTGTTGCATGTTGGGTGGTATGTGGCTCTTTAAAAAGGGGGGTTGCTTGAATTGAACTAGCTTTTTTTAGTTTTTGTTGTTTTCTACAAAAAAGTGTCTCACTTCAATTTGTTAAATACATTTTTTGCCATTATGGCCTTTATTTTAATGTTTTTGTTTTTTGGCATTTCATATTTTTACTTAAACGCCCACACACACATTTTTCATACGCATTGTGATTTTTTTGCTTTTCCAAGTGTTTGATACACAGACACTATATGTATCAAACACATAGACACACACACATCGCGATTACAACTTACACATAAAGTGTTGCCTTCCTTCAAGTTCAGGTTCATGGGTTGCATAGAAGAAAAAAAAATCCGACAGATAAATCAAAAATCTCAACGTCAGGCTGGCTGTGTAATTGACAGCACAGATTTTTCTTATGTTGTTTGATTTTCAATTTGTTCAATTTTATTGCCAAATTGTGATTAGTTTTTTATTTTAATTGTTGTTTCTTTTTTTATACGAACTATTTATTGATTTTTTCATTTATCAAGCAGTAAAATAATAAATATAGGTATTTTATTATATTTTTTATATTTTGTTTATATAATTCTTTTGAATGGCAGCATTTTAAAGTTTTTTTTATTATTCGTTATGTGTTTTTCTTTTCCTTGATTACATTTATTTTTGTTTTTTTTTTAGTTTTGCTTTATTTTATGTTCACTGTACTATGTTGTGTGGTTCTTGATTTTCTTTCTTAGCCGACCCGTCTTTACTCAATGAAAATTTGTCCGCAACTACTTTGTCATCGCCAGCCAGTCAGCCATGTGCACAACTACCCACATAAACAAAGCTCTCTCGTTCCATATGTCTCTCTCGCTTCTGGTGTCGCATGTGATAACTGAGCATTCAAATCATTCAACTTATAAAGCACCTGTCAAAATATTTCTTTTTTCCCTTGGAAAAAATCAAAACAGCTGAGATATGCCCCAAACATTTGCAAATGAGAATAAGACCCAGAGAGAGAGAGAGAGAGTCGTGTAATGTACCGTAATTTCAAAAGGAGCAAATAGAAAAGAGCCACATGCATTCAGATAATGAATGGGGTAGATTTCAGAAAATAAATTTAGATTTTTATAAATATTTATTCAAGTCAAATATTTTTAAAAAAGGGTGTTTCCAAGGATTACAGATTTTTTATTTATTAAAAAAATTGTTAATTATCGTGGACTTTTAAAGATATTGTTTCAAGGATAAATTTGAAATATTTTTCAAAGTTCAGAGATTTTTTGAAAATATTTTTTAATTAGATTTCTAAAAGTATTCTCAGGTATTAAAAAATTAGGATCTTGTATTTTTTAAAAATATTTTTTCAAGGGTTAGAAATTTTTAAAGATAGTTTTTATGGATATTTTTAAAATATTTTTCTGGAATTTTTAAAAATATTTTTGTTGATATTTTTTTAAAATATTTTTCGGGTGTTTTAAAAAAATTAAGTAACAAGGGTTTTTAAACATTTTTTCAAAGATCAGGGATATAATAATATATTTTTGAGAAATATTTTTTAAAACATCAGGGATTTAAAAAAATGTTGATGGTATTTTTGTTTTTTTTTTTTTTTTTTTTTTTTTGAGTATCAGATATTTTATGGAAAATTAAAGATTTTAAAATATATTTTTGAGAAATTTTTTAAAAAATTTTTCGAGAATCGAAAACTAAAAAATTGATTTTTCAAAATTAGGGATTTTAATATATATTTTTGAGAACATTTTTAAGAAAAATGTTCAATGATCGTATATTAAAAAATTAAGGATCGTGCATTTTAAACACATTTTTTTAAAAATTAGGGTTTTTAAAATATATATTTGAGAACATTTTTTCGAGAATCGTGGATTACAAAAGTAAGGATCGTAACCATATTTTTCAGTTATAAGGGATTTTAAAAAAGTTTTGAGGATTTTTTTTTTTTTTTTTTTTTTTTTGAGGATCAGAGATTTTATAAAAAATTAAGAATTGTGGAATTTTCTAAAAATGTTTTCTTTTTCAAATAATGGGTTTTTATTAATATATTACGAAAGCGGATTATTCAAACATATTTTTTTAAGGATAGTCCATTTTTATAAATTATTATAAAATTAATAAATAAATATCACGAATCTTGGCTCTGTTTATTTGAATTTTTAAAAGTTGTTGTTTTTATGTACATTTTTACTGATCGCTGAAAATTTTTTGTACTTATTTTTAGGGTTCCCTAGTGTTTTTATATATTTTTAATGGATCGTAAATTTTCATGAAAATAAATAATAAGACATTTTATAATTTTATATTCAGTCAATTTGTCTTATATAAGCTGCAGGAATTGTATTATTGTTCTATAATCTGAAATATATATTTAAAAAGGTTTCATTTCATAGTTATATGACATTTGCCATATTGAAATAACGGCTTTTATAGTGATAATGAAATTATTATGATTCATTTGACATAATTCGAATGAAATTATGCGTCAAATATAGCTCCAACAACCAAGCTAATGAATATAATATTAGCTTGGTTGTTTATCGCAATTATCCGTTAAATTTTACTCCTTACGAACCTTCTTTCAGTTACCCAATTCATTTCCGACCTACATATCCCTGCTCTAGTTCGCACACTTAAATAGACTTAAGTATCCCTTACTATCCAAGTCGACTTCCATCTCCCTAGTTGTCTAGTTGCGGTTGATGAAAGAAGGGTTGTCTCGTCGGAATAATTTCATTTGATACCCCTAACATCGTACTAAATAAAATAAGTATTAAATTAAATCCTGTGGATAAAATTATAATGGCCGCACAAACAGTTTTATTTGATTTTACTGTGGATCCTGTTCGCACCTCCGATCCCAAAGAAAGACAAGAAATTGCAAAAGTATTACGACATGAATTGGAGTGTCTGTTTCCTCAATTGGAACAGCAATACCAAATGCCAATGGATGATGGATATTTCGCCGTTTTGACCGAGAATAAGGAGACCATAATTACGGTGCGAATTTTCGGCCAGGGTTTGGTTACCATCAATTTGGAATACTATTTGGAAGATGGCAAAGAGCAGCTTTTGTCATTCGATGTAAGATTGTTGTTGTGGAATTTTCTATTTTATTCCAATAGTTGTATTTTTGTTTAGTTTATTATTTTTTATATTTTTTTTAATTATTTTCAAATATTTTTTGCATGCCTAATTATTTGTTTTTTAGTTTATCATTCAAAAATGTGATTTTTAATCATTACTTGTTGTTGCAAAGTTTTTGCTGTCTGGAAAATAAGTTTCCCCCTGTTTCTATTTGAAAAATGATTTTTATTCGCATTTGTCCCGCTGCTGTTGCTGGCCTTCACAGCTATCTATCTTGCTTTTGCATACTGTGGGGGGGTCGTTGGTGTTTAGTTTCCTCGTTTCTGCATTTCCTTCTTCGGCTCCCTCTCGGCTTACGGTCACTTTTGGTTGTTCGTGGAGGACGATTGTTGAAAGGGTGTCGTTTCAAGTTCACAAGCAATGTTGAGGTTGTGCCCATCATATCAAACTTAGCCATCACCACCGCCACCCTTGTCGCACACAACAACACCACTATTGCAGCCTTCAACTTTGGACACAATTATATCATTTTTGTGTTTTCATTTTTATACTTTACATACACGTTTGCCGGTCATTGATTTTTATTATTTTCTTTTTTTCTGCAATGCTTCTGGGAGCTTTAGAAATAGAATGCATTTTCAATGACCTTGAACATATGTGTACAGATGTTGTGCTGTGGTTTCATAAAGTTGGCCAAGGTTATGCCTATTTGCAGGAAATAATTACAATCTTTGCATCTCCTTGAGTTACAATGTTTAGTTCGGAAGCCTTTTGGTAGCAAGTCAAATGTTCTTTTCCCGGCATTCAGTGTCCAGAACTGTTGCTGCAATTGCAAATTACAATAATGGAAACTACGTGAAGAAAACTTTTAATATCAACATGATTTACTGAACGAAACGAAATAATTACAAAAAATATAAGAACACTCTTGGCTCTATTTTTAAAAGCATTGGAAATGGAATAGAAGAAATGTTTGTTATACAGGGTGAGATAAACAAAACTGCAACAAAGTCAAACGCCATAATTTTTAAATTTTATTGAATGAAAACAAAAAATGTCGGAAATAACATCAAATTTTAGAATAAGTAGTTTTGTTCGAATTGGTCACCTTGGGCACGAATTATTGCCTTCAAACGGTCAATGAAACCGATGCACGCTGGCCGAACGTTGCTCTACGGTATTTTGTCCCATTCCCGGCGAAGCGCTTGCTTGAGGTGATCGTCACTTTGGTATTTTTTAGTGTCAACCTTGCTTTCCAAAATACTCACGACACCATAGTCCAACGGATTGGTATCCAGCGATTTTTGTGGCCATTGTGCGCTGAAATAAAGCGAGGTACCTCATTTTGTAACCTTTCTTGGGTGGCGCGTGCTAAGTGCGATGGTGCTGAGTCCTGTTGAAATGTCCAAGGTCAGTGGCCAAAATTCTTGCGTGCCCAAGGCTTTAATACACCCTCCAGAATATTTTCACGATAATGTTCGGCATTTATTGGGATAGATTGATACGAGCGGAGAGCGATCATCGGCTGTTATGGCGTCCCACACCATAACCATGGCCGGCGCTTGACTTCTGCTGGCCAACCGAAACATTTTGCACATTTTCAGCTGACCTCTTTGGCAAACAAACACGATAATTTTGTCTGTTTACAAAATGCTGGACAACGAATGATTTCTCATCGGAGAGAACCAAATTCAGCAGTTCACCACTTTCGGCCAAGCGAAGCAACTCTTTAGCTCTTTTGAGTCTATTTTCTTTCTGTTGCGGTGTAAGTTCTTGAATTTTTGGAATTTCAATGGCTTTAACCCGAGCTCATTTTTCAATATTTGCCGAATGGAATATTGCGATATGTTCAGCTCTTGAGGCATTTTCGGCGACGCGGGTTTCGATCAAATCGCTTCTTTACTTTTCGAACCATTTCTGCTGATGTTGCTGTTTTCTCACCCTGTATATTAGATAGCATTGGGTCCGACAATTTGCGATACTTTTGTTCAATTAAAAATAAGAGATTCCATGAAAATTAATGGTTTAATAACCAAATTCTTCAAACTTTTCGGATACAAAAATCGTTTATCTAAAATTTTTTTAAGATTTTCATTTTAACCGATTCACATGAACAACCGATTTGTTCTGGATCTACCTTTATACACTCATATTATGATTCTCTAGAATTTGTATAAAATCTCTACACTCTAGAAATATATTTTAACCTAATTTTCTCATCCCAAAAACACGTGTGGTTTGTCAAAGTCTTTGCAGACATGTTTTTTTTTTTCTTTTCATTTCCAAAAATGAACAGTTCAATACACTTGAGGAACCTAAATTCAAATATATAAATATAACAGACATTAAAATATGCACAGCCAATAATATTCATTGTTGCATAAGAATAATTAGCAAAAAGAATTCAATATCAATTTAGTGATAACGATTTTTTTTTTTCATTGACATAGTCGTTGTGTCTCCTCTCAATGAATTGTGCGACCTGAGGCAGCGATGTTTTGTTTATGTTTCTTATCGTTTTGTATAAACAAATTGTACCGGCAACAATGACCGGCTGATCGATCGACCACCAAACCAACCGGTTGCGTAGCTATTGAGTGTGTTGTATTTATAAATGAATGTTGAAAAGGTTTTTTTTTTTTGCTTATAGAAGCAAAAAATGTGGACGTAAAATTTTTGGCGGGAAAATGTCTTTAATTTGGCAGCAATACATAAAAAAATAAAAAATAATTGAAACTATCTCGAGAATCAAAATCAGACCGAGTTTGAGAGTAAGAAGGAAGATGAATGAGGAGTATATGATATGGAACCATTTGGAATAAAATCTCTGACTTAAGAAAATGTTTGTGTCCTGATTCGGAATAAGTCGAAAGTAGAAGTTTATGCTCCTTTCAAATAATTTTATGTTTCATTTATTCTTGGACTTAACATAGTGTATATTTTCATAGCCACATATATATGACACGTTTTTCTTTTCTTTTTTTGCGATACGAACACATATGATTAACCTCATTTGTTTTCCCACTCGTAGCCCCTTAAGAGATATACGGAAAAGTGTACTAAAAATAATCTTATTCAAATGCAAACAAGCAGACACAGCATAGACATTCGCCATGTTATATCTACAGATGAAAGGAAAAGTCATTTATTGTAAAGACTTAGATCTTATTTGGTATGGGAAATAATATAAACTGTATGTATAATACTAATGCCTGTAGCTTTGATTCATGACATATGTTTTGTTCGATATTTAGATAAAATATTTGTACTAAACTGAACTGATAGGTCCAATGTAATTCTGAAAATTTCGTCGAAATTTGCGATATAACCACCGGTCTCAATAGAAATTGCTTTTTCAGATGTTTCATGGGAATTTTAGATTTATTTTCCAATGTAAGAATTCCCGTCCGTACTACATAGTGGCGACAGTATAAAACGAGTGCCATTTACCTTTCGTCTTTAATTTTTCCCAAAGAATGTATAATTATTGTTGTCATTTCAACTGCTGCATTTCGGCTTTACTGCGGCAAAGAAGGAAGAAAGTTTCACTAGATTGGTCTCAATACCATAAAAATCTGGTCCTTCGGTTAGAGTGAAATGAATGATTCTTTTTTAAAGTAACAGTTTGATCTGTCATTCATTCCTTTTCTGGAATGAGATAGTAAATACTATTCCGAAATTTCCGACTGGAGTTATGTAGTCAAATCCAAAATCAGGAAAAAGTAATAAAGTACTAAGTGTTAAATTTGAGGTTATGGCAGCAGACGACAGGGCATAACCTTAAGTGGGTACGATTTTCACAATGAGAAAATATTTGCCCTACACTTTGCTATATTGCTATACACGATCATATTTATATAATCGTATATAGCAAAGTGTAGAGAAAACATTTTCTCTTCGTCTTCAATATTTGATTTGAGAAAATCGTACCCTCTTAGGTCTGTGCCCTGTCGGCTGTTGCCATAACATCAAATTTGTAACTTATTACATTTAGTATATTTCCTGATTTTGATGCGTAATTTGTATTCTGAAAACCTTTAGGACATGATGGAAGATTAATTCCTGAACATACCTTTCTGCTAATCTGGTTCTAACTCAGCTAACTTTACAGGCTGTGATCTTCAAGAGTGAGTCGGATAGGTTTGGCAGGGCAATTGAAGCGGTGCAACGTGAATTCGTGCCTAGTACGCAGTGAGACAATTACAACATCCTGAACGTGGTTGGATCAAAAATGCCCAGGTTTGTCTACACATACGACGTTTTTCAGCTGCAATGGATAGAGGTGGACTCCAAGGATGACATTCATACTGACATCTGTGATTACATCAGTAGGAATGCCACTCAGACCGATAGGTTTTCTGATCTAAATGCTCTCTCTCTCTTTCTTTCTCTCTCTCTTATAGCGTTGAAATATAGACAAATGAAGATATAGACAACGAAAAGTTAGTTTTGTCTTTTTATCCAGGTGGCTCTCATCATGTTTCTGTGGTTGAACCTCCCTCTCTCGATCGTCTAGTTTCCTCCTGACACACACTGGTGAGGCAATCTTATCCACCATTTGATGGCTTGGATCACTCCTATGGTAACACCAATGTACTGCAACGAAAGCATGTGGTTATGCTGAAGTACGGCAAGACCATTCGTCATCCATTGGTGTCATAATGAGGCACCCTGTCGCAGTTCTCAGGGCAGCATCCTTCCCGAGTGACCCTATGTTTCAGTCTGTAAAAGGTCTGATCCATGGTAGATGCATCAACGTTAGGGAACATTTATATGTTATTGTAAACCAGTAAAGAAAGTCCTAAAGTCGGGCGGGGCCGATTTTATGATACCCTACACCACTTTGCTAATTTCGTTGAGCTCCACTTAATAATTAAAAGTTTTTATGGGAGAATTCAATCATACACGCTATAATTATAATTATAATTTAAAATTCAAAGGACTAAATATGCCGAAGCATTTGTATCTTTTAAATTCAGACTTATATTGCCCATTTGGTGCGAAATTAATTTGAAATCGGATAAAAATATATATGGGAACTATATCCAAATCTGAACCGATCTCGATAAAATTTGGCAAAGATATTTCTGAGCTGTATTTGATATATTTCCCTGAATATCGTTGTTACGGAGTGCATATTACGGCTGTGGGTAACAAATACAATAAATCGGATGAACAATATATATGGGAGCTATAACTATATCTGAACCGATCTTCACCAAATTTGACATACTACCTTCTAGACTAAATTCGGTCGTATGTGCCAAATTCCATCCCATTTGGACAAATATTAGACGTTTGGTGCACAATAAATGGTAAATCGGACGAAGTTATATATGGTAGCTATATCCAAATCTGAACCGATCTCGATAAAATTTAGCAAAGGTATTTCTGAGCTGCATTTGATATATTTCCCCAAATATTGTTGTTACAGAGTGCATATTACTGCTGCGGAGGACAAAAATAACAAATCGGATGAACAATATATATGGGAGCTATAGCTATATCTGAACCGATTTCGATTTGGCATACTTATTTTTAGGCCTAATTTAGTTGTATGTGCAAAATTCCATACTATTCGGGCTGATATTACACGTTTGGTGCACAATAAAAGGCAAATCGGACGAAGATATATATGGGAGCTATATCTAAATTTTCACCGATTATCTCCAATTTCAATAGGGTTCGTCCTTGGGCCAAACAAATGTTGTTTGCAAAATTTCATCTCAATCGGATAATAAATGCGACCTGCATTTTGTTCACAAGAATACATGGACAGACGAACGGACGGACAGACAGACGGACTGACATGCATAAATCAACTCAGAAAGTGATTCTATGCAGATCATCAAAAGGAACTGTGGGTCTCTCTCGTTTCCTTTTGCCTGTTACAAACAAATGCACAAAGACATAATACCCTGACCACCTTGTGGTGTAGGGTATAAAAATAAGTAGAATTTGATATGTTTCTTATAATATGCCAATCAGTGGCCGTTATAAATAATTTTTTCAATCAACATTTTCAATTCCAAAATTGGTTTGACAGTTCATTGTCTCAGCAGCTGCGACGATGCTACTACCTGTATTCTTCTGTCATGGTCTGATCCAAGAGAAATTACAGAAAATCCAAGAGAAATTACATTATCGTTAAGTCTGGTGAGCTGTGACACTAAAACATTTCGTGACGAAAAATTAAATCAATACCTAAATCATATTCTTTTAAACTTGTCTCAAGTTCCAAAATTCTCAACATCGTTCTTATTTGCGCCTTGTCGAATGTGACACACTTTATTTCCAATTATTTTCCTATAATTTATTACTTTATATCATAATCCAATTCATAATATTAATTTTGAGGAAACTTTTTTTCTTTACAATAAAACAAAGCCGAAGTATTCTATGGGTTATTTTGTTTTAATTAAAATTAGTTTGTTACATAAATTCTATCTCAAATTATACTATATATTATTAATTATTAGACAAATTGAATATTCTAATATAGTTTCACTTTGTCGTTTCTTTGTGTGTGTTTATTTTTATAACAAATTAATAAACATCTTATAACACATGCTGCTGTTGCATACCTTTCTATGGCTGATGAAAAACGTCTCTCTTTTTTTAAATGTTTGTGCAATCTTTTGTTTGTTATAATGATTTATTTTAATTTTGCTTTCATTTTTATAAAGCGTTTAATTTCTATTGCTGCTGTTGTTGTGTTTTTTGCCTTTTTATAGTATTTGTTTTCATTTTCTTTGTTCTAATAGTGAAATCTAACTAAACCAAAACAAAAACATATTTCTCTTTGTACATAAACTATAAATGTATGTGTCTCAAATGTTGTATTACAGACCATGCGAGCTTTGGAATTAATATTACAACAAAAATTAAATTCAGAAAATTCCAAATATTTGCCGCCTATAAAACGTGGTGGATATATTGATATTTACATGACAACTTCAGGTTAGCATAGTAATGATGATGATTTTTTCTTTCATTTAGTTTGAAATCAAGAAATGTATTCTAGTTTCCTATTTTTCTTCAGTCAACAAATCACATCAGTCAATATATTTTTTCTTTCTTTCATCCATTCGTTCATCACTCCAAGTCAAGCAAAAGTTCAATGTTTAAATAAAAAAAAATCAAAACACTTAAAAAGTTGAAAAACCTATCAAAATTGAAAAACGTAATATCTATTGTGAATCAAATATTCCTGTATCGAATCTGTATCTGTATTCTTTCCAAGCATACATACTACTTTCAATTTATTTGCTGTTTTATTGCTAGACATTTTTCCTTCCTCACTGAAAACCTAAAGCTTTTTTATTGTTATTGAACGAATTGAAATTAGCAAGATTATCATCCAGTGAAACCTCCTTTCTCTATTGGTTGGCAAAAACAATTGTATAGGTCCTTTGGAAATGTAGAAACCCCAAACCATAAGTAAAACAACACCTAGTATTTTTTAAAATTGTAAGCTTTGTGTTCAAAAGGCATGTCGATTTTTATTTTGCTGTTGAAATAAAAAAACTTGAATAATTTTTTGTTATTTGTATCTATATTATTATTATTAAAATTCCTTTCAATATTTAGTTTAATAAATAAATCTGTATTTATATATTTAATTATCATTTTCAAATCAACAATGAAAACATATTTTAAAAAAATTGATATCTATCCTTTTTTATTCTCGCTGTTGTTCTCACCACCAATCAAATCATTTTTAAATACACCAATCGAAACCAACCAACCAACACCACCTCGACCACAACTTTGATTTGAAACATTTACAATACAATTATCGTTCGCCATCCAAAAGTCATCAAAACGTCTTGAAAATAACATTGCCAAGAAATTGAAAGTCGTTTCTGGACAAGTGTTGCCTCCACTTAAACGTGGCGACTTTGCTAGATATTTACCATCATCAGGTAATGAAACATTGTTTTTCCTCCCTTAATTTTTTGTGCTTTAAACATTTTGCATTATTATTTTAACATTTATTCTATGACTATTTTGTCGGTGTCTTTTAACTATATGCTTACATTTATATATTTTTTTTGCTTTTGAACATTAATCATCATATATAATTATCGATAATAAATAATTGAAATGTAATCTTTAATAAATTTTCTTTAATCTTTAATTTAGCCATTGCATACTAAAAATCTTTTCTCATTTGTCTTTAATTTTTGTGCATGTTGAGTGTTTTAAATTTATCATATCTAAGATCTTCCTCCATTTTTTGATTACTTAGAGTATTTTTGTTTGATAGACCGATATTAGGGAATTAAGGAACATACGACGCCTTACAAATATTTAGAAAAGGTGCTCACAGTAACGCATTTCTTTAAGGCCTTAGGGCTTATGTACAGTATATATTTGAAAATATATTATAATATTAAGCAGTTCAAATCAAATTTGGCAGAGCCTATTTTGGGATGCTTTAATATGAAATATATATGCCTGCCTGCTTTTTAAAGGTAATAACGGCCTGGTACTAGGGCATTTTAATGCCTACCATAAGTCGTGATAATGACCAGAGGGGTAGGGTGGCAGATCAGATTTGCTGCTAATTCTGCACATTAAACGAGGATGCCGAATAAAAGGAGATTTTGATAAATGACGTGACATCCCAACCCACAATTTCTCTTGGAATCATCTCTCGATAATCGTTAATAAGCAAATTGTCGACTTCATAACCTCTAAAAAAAGAGGGAAAAGTGGCTGGTAAAGGTTAAGTGACTCTCCAACCCAGGGAAAAGGATTATAAGAGGTGCGCCGAAACTCAAAATCATTCAAAGCATTTGGCCATGGAAAACTATAAAATTGGCAGGTGTGCACGCTACAGAAGTTCACAAGGATGCCAGCAAAGACGAATCATACAGGCCGATTTCGCTTTTATCGCTAATAGCAAAGACTGTTGAGACCAGCATCAGAGGATGTTATCCAGTTGCCAAGCATTAACACGGTTTCCGTCTACAATGCAGTACCACAACAGCATTCTACGGCACATACAAATATATCAGTCGAGGATTGAACCAGAAAACGCCGTGTTGTGAAACAGTGTTTGTAGCCTATATATGACGTTTGATATCCTCCGACCAAGATTAAAACGTCTGATAATCAAATATATGTGGTCATATATGTCGTACATGGAATTCCGAATGAAACTGTTTAAACTCTACCTTTCAGGAATTCGTCGCCCTTCAGATGATAACCTCAGATATCGTAACCTGATACTGTTCTGTAACCTGGTACTTTCGTTGCAGTACCTGCTAGGGTGTTACCGTGTGAGTCTTCCTAAACATAATATGGTGGACAGGACTCCCCTACCCAGGCGTATCAGGAAAGAGATTCGTGTTCGAGAGAGAGAGAGAGAGGGGTGTCCAACGATATAAGATATACCTATAGATCGTTAGCTCTGAATAGCATTCATTAGTCAACCATTACACCCCTCGACTTGTCCACTACCTAGGCAAACAAGGGTAGTTTTGAATGTGAATTGATGAATATGTGCATAACGTCTGTCCAGCATTTGATAAAGTTCCGCACAAGACGCTGCATCTTTTTGAGATCTAGTGTTCCAAGCCTTACGACCCAAAGCTTTATGTAAACGGAGTACAAGGAGTGAACAACCCTTGGACTGCAGCAGCAATATTTTCAGTAGTTTTTGGGCGACATGCCCTGAAAGGGCCTATGTAGGTATTACTTAAGGATGGGAGGATATTTTTTCGAAAGGCGCTTAACAATAATTTTATTTATAATAACTTTGGAACGGTGTTCATACTAACGATTACTGGTGTATGAACAAGAATATTTGTGATCAAGTCTGAAATCCAATCATGAATGAAACAAGTTAAAAAGTATCAGTCAGATATATACCCTCAGCCTATGTTCGATTAAATAATCGAAATATATTTGACTAGTCTTACAATTATTCAAAAGTTTGACCCTCTATGGAGCCGGTTCCAAAAGAATGGGCCAATCTTGTCCATTTTGTATCAGACACAAAAATATGATATAAATATTCCAACGTTCCTGGTATGGATTATATTGACTCACTCCTTCACTTTTTATGAGATATGTAATAATTTTAAGAAAATGTTAAAATATGAGTGATGTACCATATAGATTCTACCGAAATATTCCATTTTTATAGTTCATCTGACACAAATAAAAAATATTGAGCGAAATATTGAACTAAAGAAAGGATATTTATGTCCAATTTTATACGAAATCATAAATTCCGATAAATATCATATTCATATCAAGCTTCTTATTGAAATTGAGCATAGCAAAAAGTAAATATTGCTAAATTGTTTCGAAAGTTATGACAGATAAAATTATTGAAAATTGTGACCCTTTGTGGGTGAGGTACCAAAAGGAGTGGACCGATACATTCCATGTTAACAGAAGATCCTGGTTTTTAAAAAATATTGGAATGTGTGAAATTTGAAGACGTTCGAATCCTTACATCATATTTAAGAGTTATAAGAGTTATAATTATTCAAAATGTTGACCCTTTGTGGGGGAGGTACTTGATGGAGTGGACCGGTACTGTCCATTTTAGCACCTGACCTAGCACTGATGCAAATATTAGGACTTGCAAAGTTAGAGCAAAATCGGGTAACCGTTTCTCTTTCTGTGCAAAAAATATATTTTATATATTTTTTTTGAAAATTTCGACCTTTTGTGGGGAGGTACCAAAAGGAGTGGACCGATGTATTCCCTCTTAACACCAGACCTTGGGTTAATAAAAATATTGGGACATGTGAAATTTGAAGACAATCGGACTCTTACATCACATTATTTTAAGAGTTGTAATTATTCAAAATGTTGACCCTTTGTGGGGAAGGTACTTGATGGAGTGGACCGATATTGTCCGTTTTCGCACTTAACCTAGAACTGATGCAAATATAAGGATTTGCAAAGTTTGAGCAAAATCGGATTATTGCTTCTCTTTATGTGCAGAAAAAGAAAATATATATATTTTAATGTTTTTGAAAATTTCGACCTTTTGTGGGGGAGTTACCCGAAAAAGTGAACCGATACTTTCCATTTTCGCAACAGACCTTGGCTAATAAAATTATTGGGATGTGTGAAATTTGAAGACAATCGGACTTTTACATGACATTTTATAGGAGTTGTAATTATTCAAAATTTTGACCCTTTGTGGGGGAGGTACTTGATGGAGTGGACCGATATTGTCCATTTTCGCACCTGACCTGCCACTGAGGAAAATATTAGGATTCGCAATGTTCGAGCAAAATCGGATTATCCTTTCTCTTTCTATGCAATAAATTATTTTCTTTGAAAATTTTGACATTTTGTGTGGGAGGTACCAGAAGGAGTGGACCGATATTGCCCATCTCCGAACTCGATCTAAGTTTGACAAAAATACTACGATGTACCAAGTTTCTATCAAATCGGATACTCCCTTCGAGAGTTATCGTGCGCACCAGCCAGACAGACGGACGGACGGACGGACGGACATCGGTAGATCGACTCCAAATATTCTGAAACGGATTTGGTCCAAAGAGACTTAGGGTCTAAAACCATTATTTCGACTGGGCACGTTTTGACCGTATCAAATGATATATACCCTCTGTAGCCATATGGCTGAGGGTATAAAAATCGAAATTCAAGAACAACTGCTGTTACTACAAAATAATGCAGTATTGACCGTGGGATTATGTAGCTGTACTTAACAACCCAAATTCTTTAATTTTTTTGAATATTGTAGTTTATTTGTTAGTAAATACTAGCTGTTTACTTTATCTTTACATTACTTATCAAAGAAAATTCTTATTATTAAATTTGGAGAGGAAATTAAAAATTTTTTATACCTGCGACTTTTAGCAATTTTATCACTCTATATATTTGCAAATGCATGTCCCATCTCTGCTTTCATATTTTTTGTTAGCTTAAATTTTAATAACCCTTAAGTACGGATCTCATTGCTGTATCTTTCTAAATAATAACTGTGTGTGTATGTAATGTGTTGGTAAAAAAAATAAACAAACAAAAAGAATAACAACCCATTCATTTTGTATTCTTTAAACACCTTGAATTATCCTTGCCCTTAACCTCATGTGACATTTACCGCAACTAACCATACATTTGAATAGACAGACACAACACACACACTCACTTGTATATAAAACATCCTTTACATACCTAAGTCATGCAAGAGTATATTTGTTCATTAACACCAAACTCATAACAACATTCATATATACAACATAAAAAAAACATATATATTATAATTTGTATTATTATCATGTACTTGTTTTCCCATGTTCTTCTAGATGAACGTATTATCGAATACGATATTGATTCATTGGTTTATGAGGCACGTTCACCATTCCAGAAAATTCAAATTATGCACTCGAAAACATTGGGCAATATGTTGATATTGGATGAATTGCAAAGTGAGTAGAGATAAGATATTCATAAAGATACGCCAATTGTAAAAATTTAAGCATTTTACTTTAACGATCAATAAAAAGTCGCTATCGGCGTACTTTATTATCTTTGTATGACAACGTTATAAATGATCATTTCTTTTTTATATCTTAGATATTGCTGAATCTGATTTAATTTACACCGAGACCCTTATGGGCCGTGGCGTTGAAAACTACGAAGGCAAAGAAATTTGTATTTTGGGTGGTGGAGATGGTGCCCTGCTATACGAGCTATTGAAGGAGAAACCCAAATTTGTTGTTATGCTGGAAATCGATGAATTGGTTATGCAGGCGTGCAACAAATATCTCAACAGTATTTGCGGTGATGTTTTGGAGAAACGTAAAGGGGACAATTATGAAATTATCGTCGGCGACTGTGTGGAGTATATGAAGAAGTTCATTGCTGATGGCCGTAAATTTGATTACGTCTTTGGCGATCTCACCGATATACCCATTTCGGGAGCACCCATTGGTGAATGTTGGGATTTTATACGCACAATTTTGGAGCACTCCTTTAAAATCTTGAAACCCGATGGCAAATACTTGACCCATGGCAATGGCACCAGCTGTGTGGAGTCATTGGAATTGTTCGAAGAACAACTGGGCCTGTTGAAACCCAAGGTCAAGTTTACCACATCCAAGGCATTTGTGCCCTCCTTTATGGAAGAATGGCTCTTCTATCAAGTGTCCTTGGCTTGACGAGGTGAAGTGGAAGAAAATACGTTTCTTAACGATTCACAGCGACGACTTAACTCAATTAATAACAATAAACAAGACACTGAGGCTTCCTTTATCACAAACCCATCAACACAGCATAGAGCACCGGCAAGTATCTTGCCATTGGCTAGTCTACCCTTCGAAAATGACTGTGAAATGGCTCCACACAAACACAGACGTTTTCTTTATCACACATCCATCTCTTAGTCACCTCACGTTGAGCAATGCAAACATTTATTTAATGAATATTTAGCCATACTTTTGTTTACATTTGATTGTCAATTTTTTTATTTAAAAAAGCATACCAAATATTTAAGAAGAAAATGTAATTATTTTAAGTTAGCATTTAGTTAACGTGTGAATAAGTAACAGAAAGCTCCCTCTTCTCCATCAACACATTGACCCATATTGTTTTCAATATCCTTGTGGATAAATTTCAAACCATGTTCCTTTTAGCTAAACTATTTGAACAGTTTTTGTTTACTTCCCCTACTCCCCCACTTCTTCTTCTTCAAAAAAAAAGCTGGAGCGTAAATATCCCATTATTTTTGGGTATTAATATAATTGTACTTACAGTATATAATACGATATGATTACGATCATATTATTTATAAATTCATTTTATGTTGTTCCTCTTCACTTGAACGAAATTATTACTAAAGTATAACAGACTTAAGAAGGAAATGCAAAAGGATAATTTTAATTTACTTTGTTTTATTTAAGGCATACATTCAAACAAAAAAACCAAATTAAAATATAAAAAATATAGTCGTACGCAGAATATTGTGAATTAATGAGTTTTATTTATATCAAAGGGGATTCTTATTACACCATCAAGGCAAAATTGGTTATAGTATTTTGTTCTCTTGTTCTTGTTCTCTTATATTTCTTTAAATATACAGTCTTTTACTTACTTAAAAATAATTTATATTCCTTTAATACTATTTTCTACACAAAAATAATTGGCAAAGAGTAATGACTTATTATCTATGAACTTGAAATCTTTTGTGCATTACAATTTCACAACATTGATAGAAACAATAGGTGCAAAACGACAATGTCACATAATTCCACCAGCCTCCCAAATACGCTTCATGCATCAGAAAATTTCCCACATCCAGACCACTAATGAAATAGCAATTTGAAAATGCAGCCGGAATAAATATTTGCGATCCCAGGAATGCATTAAATCGCTGTACACCTCCATCAGTTAGTCCACATGTCTCTCGCATCGCTTTGTTATAAAATGCCGATGTTGTTATGGTTTTCAGAACTTTTTCCAAGACCAAACAGAAGAAATTCAAAAGACTCCACACAAAAACATACCAATAATGGCCATGCCAGAGAAACACAAATGAAAATGTGGCAGCTGTTGATAGAATTTTTCTCAGCGGAGACGAAGTTTTACTGCACAATTCCGCATATATGTGGGTAAATAAAAATTCGTAGAGTCCTTCATCGAAATATTTCCACATATCCGAGTAGTGATGAACCAAGCCAATGCATCGAGGTTTTCTTGGCGGTCTTAGACCATCATATTGGGCAAATGCAATGCCCAAACCATACACAATAATGTAATGCATAAAAAAGAACTGACCCATAAAATAGCCAACTGCATACAAACCAAACTTGGTGTCCAGCACCTTGATGGCTTCAATATCCAAAGCCATATAGTGGACATAAATAAAATGTATTGCAATCTCCAAGACCAACCACCAAAAAGCAACCCTTGCTATTTGCCACAGAAATTGTATCAGATTCGATTTCCCCTGGATGATTTCATCTGCAGGTGTATAGCGATGATAGCCCATAAAGGGCCCCAACGTAAAACAAGGGAAATACAAGCTATATCCCAGAAACTTGATAAAGCTATATTTTCTTTCCATATCACCTTCTCCATTCACATAAGACTTTGCCAACTGCAAACTAAAACTGCATCCCCTTAGAATACACCAACATAAAGTGACCATTACATGATGGAATTCCATGTAACCCATGTTATCCTGCAGCATTTTGTTCGATTTCATAAAAATCATGACAATCATCCACAACAACGAAAGCAACCACACATATGCCTTTGAGTGCCTCTGCGCTACCAAATAGTAAGTCATTACCAGGCTACATATCAAAGCAATTGATATTATTTTCATTGTACAACACACAATGATGCAAGTCACCAAGACGTGTCCCATACTCTGCCATCTAGGTTGGTATTTTCGAATGAAGCCGCTGATGGCAAAATGAAAGATATACCAGTGCCAGTATTGTTTAATGTATTCGGTAAATGCATAAAATTCATCGTTTGTGTCATCCTTTCGAGAATTGAGTATTGGCCATCCTTGTGGAAACTCATATTGGGCAATAGCAAGGATTTTATGTCTGGCATTGATCAGGGACCACAGCTGGTAAACAATGTATACAACATAGACGCCAAAATACAAGGTTGTTTCACTTTTGTACAGACGGAGTTCCATTCCTTGGCATTGAAACCAAATTGCCTATCACCGATGAAACAATTTGTGGTATTGTCCTTTCCTTTGTTAAATCCAACTACAACAAAGTCAATAATGTTAAAATAATGTCCTGAATACGTATGTGTTAATACAAAATTAATTAAATTACCTTATTAATTCATTATATTCGAAATATTTTAAAGGAATTTCGCTTTTATGCAGACGGAGTTCCATTCCTTGGCATTGGAACCCACTATAGCTATTTGTTACCGATGTGGTGCACAAAAGGTTGCGAACGAAGGAAGATGCAACACGCCGACAACGTATAGAAAATGGGAATAGGCAATATAATGCAACAGCTGTTTGATAACCTACTTTTATAATGACACTTACTTAGGGACACTTAGGTCGATAGTCGATACAACACATGGTAAAAGAATACACGTAGATGCATGACAAAATGATACAGGTAGGCACATCAATACAGCTGCTGGTACAATGAGCTGTTAGACCAATTTTGGATTTGAAAATGAAAAATATCGAAATTTGTAAAAATTGTTGGAAAATGCATGTCATAACAACCTCCGATTGGCGTCGTATAAGAAAAGGTTTTAAAATCCATTTATTTTTGGAGATATTTTTAAAAATTTTTGACATATCAATATTCGCGAGTGTTGATGCATCTACCTATATTCTTCTACCATGCGTAGATGCATTCGTGGCACAATAAAAAGGTAAGGAAGAGCCCCCAGCGGAGCGCGCATTAATAATATTAACCAGATTTGCCATAGAATTGAAAGATTGAACACTTAGGTTCATATTTTTGGCAGAATATCCAGGCATTTCATTCATCTTTCGTGCTGTTTGACTCGTTTTAGAAATGAACAAAAAATATCAATTGAATAAAACCACTTTTTGCCTATAATTTCTGTAGTTTTACGAAGCTGTTCTACATCTTTATTGTACCATGGATGCATGGATACAAAAATTTCGTCTGAGAGAACCTTTAATAATTTTGTTACTATATAGATTTCCCATCCCTGGGGTGTGCGTGCTGATTAACAACACATACGAAAAAGAGACAAGAGAGGGTACTATACTCTCTCCAAGCATGTTCCCAAGAAGGTAAGGTAAACACCAAGTGAACACAAGCAAGGCATTTTTTGATAAAGAAAGTGGTCTTGGAGTCAACACACAAATTTGGTTTAGCGGAGAATTTAATAAAAATATTGAAACACGCGAGAAAGCAATTGAATCGTAGACCAGGTGGACAAGGCGCGGTGTGGGGTAGTGAAAGTGCAAGTCAAAATAAAAGTGCAAACGCTAAATAAAAACACACTTTTGAAGACTGACGACGGCCTGACTGAATTTTATTACTTAATCAATATTTGAAGAAGTAAGCAGCCGGCAACAATAATAGCTAGCTGAGTAGCAAAGGAGATAGCATTTTATATTACGACACTAAGAAAATCTCAACATCATCAATTAACATGGATAAGAAACTTCACAGTGGAATTCACCATCCTACTTTGAGGCTACTACAGGAATCTGGATGTGAAATAACACCACATAATTTGATGTATCCAGTGTTTCTGGTGTGTGATGATGATGCACTGCAGCCCATTGAAAGTATGCCCGGGCAAGCCAGAATGGGTGTAAACAAACTTAAGGAGCATTTGGAACCCTTGGTGGCGAAAGGTTTAAGTTCATTATTACTTTTTGGTGTGGTCGATTGCGATATGAAAGACGAAAACGCAAGTCACGCTGACTCGAAAGAGAATCCAGTCGTGAGAGCTTTGCCTTTGCTTCGCAAATGGTTCCCCAACTTGTTGATAGCATGTGATGTGTGTTTGTGCCCGTATATGTCGCATGGTCATTGTGGCATACTGGATGAAAATGGTTTGCGCAATGAGGATAGTATAAAACGTCTTGCTGAAGTTTCGGTGGCATATGGTAAGGCAGGTGCTCATATTGTGGCCCCCTCAGATATGATGGACAATCGCATAAAAGCAATTAAGGAAGGTCTGATAGCTGCCAAGTTAGAGAATCGTGTTTCTTTGCTATCCTATTCTGCCAAATTTGCCTCCAATTTCTATGGACCCTTCAGAGATGCTGCCAAAAGTGCTCCCGCCTTTGGCGATCGCCGATGCTATCAACTGCCAAGTGGGTCAAAGGGATTGGCAATGCGTGCCGTTCAAAGAGATGTCATCGAGGGAGCTGATATGCTAATGGTTAAACCGGGTATGCCTTATCTGGACATTTTACGCCAAACAAAAGATACATTTCCCAGCCATCCCTTGTACGTCTACCAGGTATCTGGTGAATATGCCATGCTCTACTATGCGGCTCAGCATGGAGCTTTTGATTTGAAGCAAGCCTTAATGGAATCGATGAAAGGTTTCCGTCGTGCCGGTGCTGATTGCATTATAACTTATTTTACACCACTATTGTTGGATATTTTGCTGGAAGAGAAATGATATACGGAGACAAAGGACAATACAACTCCGTTGAAGTTGAAATAAGTGTACTTATTACATTAATATATGTTTTTAAATGGGTTCCTAACAATTTTCAATATACATTGGTATAATATTAAATGAGGAGATAATAAGAGGGCATTTGGTGTACAATTCAATATAGTAGTCTAGTGCAATAAAATAAAATCTATATTCATTGTCACAAATTTAATACAATGAAGTTTTTAATAAAACCTCCAAGGCCTGTGGGGATAATTTAGGGGTTTTTGATCTACTAAGAAAGCAAAATGCCGCCTATCTAATAATTCGTATTAAAAATATAAGCTAAAGTTCCTAAAAATCCTTAGGTTCTTCTTTGTGGAATTATTTTACCAAAACAAGATTTGATACAGTATTTCGACAAGTTACAAACAAAAAGTTCAAATTTTTATACCCCGTAGCGAAAAGTGAAGGCAAGTCAATTACCTCAACCAGTACTCAAATTTATTCAAAAATTTTAAATATTCGCTTGACATGACACTTTATTATGTACATATTCTAATTGCAATAATTGCTTGAGCTTGGCATTTGTAAACAATGAATTCTTAAAAAGTCATGACTCGTTTATCTCTTCACTGCGGACATGTAGATATTTCGATGATTTCATGACCGCTTCAAAGCTATGAAACACGTGAAAATATTTATCTTTTTTATACCCTCAGCCATATGGCTAGAGATGGTATATATAATTTGATAGGCCAAAACGTGCCTCATCGAAATAACGTTTTTAGACCCTAGGTCTCTTTGGACCAAATTCATTTGAAGCCGATCTAGCGATGTCCGTCCGTCCGTCTGGTAATTGGTGAGCACGATAACTTTCAAAGGGAGTATCCAATTTGATTATTGTCAAATAATATCCAATTGATATTATTGTCAAACTTAGATCGAGTTCGGAGATAGGCAATATCTGTCCACTCCTTCTGGTGCCTCCCCCACAAATGGTCAACAATTTCAGAAAAATATTTGACTGCACAGACACAGAAACGATAATCCTATTTTGCTCCAAGATGGAATATATCGGTCATCTCCTTCTGGTACCTCCCCCACAAAAAAAGTCATAAAACATGAAATTAACATCCATTCAGACTTGGCAAATATCAATATTTCTGTCAACACAAGATCTGTTATAAAGATGGTAGAGATCGGACCATTCCTTCTGGTACCTACCCCACAAAGGGACAAAGTTTTGAATAACAAAAACAATCTTAAAATCCGAAATAAGCATCCGAATTACACACATCACAATATTTTGTATTAACCCAATGTCTAATGTGACTATAGGATCTATCGGCCCACTCTTTCTGGTACCTCCCCCACAAAGGATAAAAGGTTTGAATATTCATGAAGCTCATAGAACACAAAATTAACATCCGATTCCATTCAGACTTGGCACATTTTAATATTTCTATTAACACAAGATCCATTATAGAGATGATAGAGATCGAACCATTCCTTCTAGTACATTCCCCACAATGGGACACAATTTTGAATATCCAAAACATTTATTTATTATTTATTTATTATTTATTATTTATTTTTCACACATACAAATATTTTTGCTACAACAAGATCTGTTGTGAAGATTAGATATATCGGTCATCTCCTTCTGGTACCTTCCCCACAAAGGTTCAAAATTTTGAATATCCATGAAGCTCATAAAAAGCGAAATCAACATCCGATTCCATTCAGACTTGGTACATCTCAATATTTCTATCAACACAAGATCTGTTATAAAGATGGTGGTGATCGGACCATTTCTTCTCGTACCTCCCCCACATAGGGTTCGAGATTTTGAAAATCAAAACTCTCAAAGAAAGCGAAATAAGCATCCAACTCTCTTCAAAATGCACACTTCGAAGTATTTTTGCTAATGCAGGATCTGTGGTGAAGATGATATCTACGACCCCTTCTGATACCTAACCATAACATGCGAAACAAGTCGGCGATTCTTTACAACTTGCTATGTCTAAATATTTCTCTTAACCAGATATCTAATACTAGTATGTAATTTATCGAAACTTATGATCTCGCATAAAATTGGATATAAATGTTCGGTTTCCTTCAAATTTTGCACATACCAATATTTTTATCTGTATTAGATGAAGTATGAAAATGGAATTCTTCGGTCCGATATATCTGTAACCCACGCATATTCCCACATTTTCTAAAACTTTGCACGCATCTCACTTAAAGTATAGAAAGTAGTCGATATAGTCCAAACCTGGCACGTTGCAATATTTATATGAGTCTTAGGTCAAATACGAATTGGTCAATATTGGTCTTCCTTTCAAAACCCACTCCATAGAGGGTCAAAAGTTTGAATATTCATAACAGAAGTCAAAATATTTTTAACTAATCCAACATTGGCTGAGGGTATGCATCTGTCGGCAAAACCGACCGATAATTTTTCAATTGTTTAGACGGCATTTTGGTTTATACATTGCATCTGTATCCTAGAATAATTTCATCCTCCCAAATTGCCATGAGTTCCAACGAAAAACTAAAAAATACTTTTTATATTTTTTGAATACACAATTATTTTATTTTTAAATCTTTTCGAATTTGCTATTCAGTGTAAAACAAAAATCTGTATAAAGAAAATAATACAATTAATACGAATATTTTTTTTATTTTTACACAATAAAATGTTATTTGAAGACGACAAATTAAGTACATTGATTGAATAAAGAAAATTTTGTGTTCTCGTTACATTGAGATCTAGTTTGCAATACTGTGCGGATTGGTTTTCGTTATAATCTCGGTTTATCTACAAAATGGACAATTCGATGAATTATTAAAAACGTTTTTTCTATGCTATTGGTTAAATTTGTTTGTTTGTTTCATATCGAAATTTCATAGTACAATTGTGTCATTGTCTACACATGGATGATAATTATTAAAATACAATAATAAAAGCACGCTTTATAAATAATCACATACAAGTGTGGTAAAAATAAAAAAAAAACCTGTAAAAAACAGTCTTAATGTTAAAAATAATGCTCATGAAAATGTAATTTAGAGAAAAGTACATAAATTGATGCTATAAAATAAAATAAAAAAAATGTAAATCGTTATGGAAAGATATCAATTTTATAGTAATAAATTGAGGCAATTGCTAAAATTTTATATTTTAAAGAACACTGGAAAATATGCTAAAATCGCATTTGAAAACTGAACGCTTCTTAAAAACGTTGATTAATTCAAGCGACAAATGCCATTGCAACGATTTAATACACTGATATGGCGGCAATGATGGTAATACTTTTTATGAAAGAGGTCAAATGTAGGTAATATTTTTTTGGTATAAAATAAATTAAAACGATTTGTCATTGAAGACGTTCTTTGCACATTTCACTACATAAAAAGGTAAAACCTGTATGAAATACACTTTTAATCTTACTCCTATATCTATGTGACCGACCGACTACAGGAATAAACTTGATGTGTTATGTTTGAAAACATCTTCTAACAATAAAACTTTAACTAGGGTACACTTATTACCCTCAAATGATATGAACTTTACTACTATTTCCTAATGTTTAGGTTCCGAGAACCTTCAAAATTCCAAAAGTAAACATGTATTCTTAGAAGGGGGTATGGACGGTGAGAAAAATAGAAATAAAAAAATGTCTACGAATATGTTTCCTATAGTAGAGTTAAGCACTTGTTCGAACAAGGAACAGCGATAAAATGTGATGAAAAAGGGTGATAGATTCGTGGGTTACTTCAATACTCTTTTATGTATCTTGAGACTCGTTGTGGATTTTAGAATGTTCCAATATATCGGTATTTTGCATTGGTTCCAAATCAGTCTCTGAAATAATCTCAGCTAGCCATTGTTCAATTTGTACTGGATGAAATGATTCCTCATCACAGCTACTGTTGGCCTCAAGTATGATCTTAAGATTTTCAAAATTTTTCAAAACGAAACGACGACTATTGCCATTTTGTTTGTCTCCACCGCTCAACATATAATCGCTGAATGTTGTGGCCTGTGAGGTAGTAGAATCAGCAGCGTTTACCTGATGTCGTGATTGTGCTGTAGAGGAACATTTTGTGCGCGTTTTCTGCTGTTGGTGTATCGAACGTTTAATTTCATTTAGAAGACGATTGTAGAAATCACAAGTAACCTCGTTGGGCGATGAAGAATCGGCCGCAGCATAGTCGGTGGATCCACTTGGTAATGGCTTGTTTTCCAACGAATTTGTTTGTGTTTTATGTGACTTTTTTAATTTGTGCTTTTTCGAGTGTGAACGTGAACTGTTGTTGCTGGAATAGTTGGATAAACTATTTGGGGTGGTTGCCTGACTTGTTGAGGTGGGTGAAGTACATTCCTCCGTGTTGGAGCTCGATGAGACCACCGAAGATTCAACCAAAGTTTTGGATGAATGATTGTCCTTGGCTTTAGATGTAGACGAATGGGGTTCTTCCAAATCGTCTTCTTCGTGATCATCTGCTTGTCCCCCTTGTTGAGCGTATTTAACAGGTATTTGGGCCTGAATGTTTTCCTCTGTTGAACAGTTGATAGTCAATGAGGCTATATTCCTTAGATTGATAGTACCATTGCAATTGTTGATTGTGATTTTTGGCTTGAAACGTTTCTGTTTTGTACCATGTTGTTGTGTTTGTGAATATTTGTTATTGTTGCTTGCCGAATATTGCTCCGAGTTGGCCTCCAAACTGGACACCACATCAGCAATTGATGATTCCACTTCATCGTCCAGTTCCTCCAAATTCAATGGTGGCACTTGAATCTCTCGTTTTGCCTTTGCCTGCTTTATCAATTCTTTGGCTTCTTTCAGTGTTATGTTAATAATGCTATCATTGACCATTTTGGCATTACGCTCCATCAATGATTTGTGATGCGAGAAATCCACTACAATACTTTCATCCTCCTCTTGATTGCCCTCCACCACACTTTGGTTTAAGCCTTTGAACATTGTCTCATGGTCGTCGGACGGCTTAATGTAATCTTCATTTTGATTTTGTAAAGTCAAATTAATATTGGTCAGCTGAAAGCGTCCATAATTTCGTATTGCTGCCAGCAGCTCTTTCTCGTTATCAGCCAAAAATTCAATGCCAGGATTATTTTTCTCGTCCTCGTCCTGCTGTTGCAGTTGTTGTTTACTTGTGGTGTTGATGACATCCAGTTGCCGCAGTAACAATTTTTCCCGCATCATTAGAGCGGATTTTAGCTCGGAAAACTTTTCCATGACATTTTGTTTTATCTGTGGAATAGTAAATTACTTCATATTTCCATAGTCCATTGTTTTTGTTATTTCTTACCTCGTTAACTATATCCTGTGTAGCCATAATTAAAGTGCAGATGATCCTTTTTATCCTTCCTTTTCCAAACAATTCGTGAAGTTTTATCTATTTCTCATCAAACTAGAGGTGGCAAACAATCGATGGCAATATCGATACTTTTGTTTTAAAAGAGTGTATCGATTGATAGCGGTTTCTATCGATATTATCAGACGATGAGCCAGTAATAAGCAACAGATGCTCTGTTCCAAAACATGAAAGAATGTAAAAATTTCTGCATTATCACAAGTTAAGCTGTCCCATGGTATATTTAATCACACAAGGTTAATTAAGAAGATCTATTAAGACAAACGGAATAATCTTCATTGTGACTACCAGTTACATTTACAAATGATTACTTATTATTGTCATATCTCTGAAAAAAAGCATTTATTATACCCTCCAATTTGACAAGGAGAGTATAATGGCTTTGTTACTCCAATTGTAATATCTCTAAATATTTGTCTTAGACCCTATAAGGTACATATGCATTTTCATGATCAATTTAAAATTCGAAGTCGATTTAACGATGTCCGTCTCTTTGCCAGTCTGTTGAAATTTCGATACAGCCCACGTTATTTGACATAGAGTTTCGAAATTTGGCAGAAAGAATTGTATTGTGTCTAGGAAGTTTAGTATTGAAAATGAGATACATTGGTCCACGTTTTTGTATAGCCCCATATATCTCCCGATATTCGATAATACGATGATTTTTGTCACATTTTTCAACGGATTTGTCTAAAAATTGGTATTTGTAGTTCATAATGTGTTCTAGCTCCGGTGACAGAACATTTGGTCTGTTACAGAACCTGCAAAAATCTACTAGTTTTGTAATTTTCTTCGATATCATAAAGAGAAAATCAGTATATCAATGCGTTATAAAGGCTAAAGCAGATCATGATTTCGTCGTGAAAATACAACACTGTTACCATTGTGTCGGATACAAGTGGCAACAGTGTTGTATTTTCACTCCAAAATCACAATTTAAGCTTTTATCTGTCTAATAGTACGTTTATATATATGAGGGTTAACCCACTAGATTTGGATTTAAACTGTCATATCCATTACTTTTACTTGAAATAAATCCCCTCAAAGTAGTTAACCTACTACAAAAAGTTCTAACGTAAACATGGCATTAGCAATATGCTATTTAAGTGCCTTTTCGTAAATAAAAGAACAAGGGAGTTTTAGTTCAACTTAGTTCAATATTCGACTTTGTTCTATTCCAGAAGTGTAAGAATGTAATCGTTTTTACTACGATAATTGATACTTACCTTATAATATCGAAGAAAATTGCAAAAGTTGTAGAACCTTGCAGGTTCTGGAACAGAGATATTATAAACTTTACAGCTTTGTTTGTAAATATTTGTTAATGTTTTGGAATAAAAAAAAAAACGTAAATACATTTTAACTATGATAAACGCTTTTTCCTTTGTTGTATCGAAAAAATAGCAAAAGTACAAGAATCTTGTATTTTCTGTAGCAAATTACATATTAAGAACCCGATATTGTAAAAATCCTCTGACGTTCCATTCATTTTTTGTGATGTTCTTTTATATTAAAATATTGTAAGAAACGAACGAAACAAACAAAACAACAGGTTGCATTTGCTACAAGACTTTTGAATCAGTTTTGTTATTCAAATTCAATTTTACCTTTATATTTCTTTCCCATTTTCTCCAAAACTAGTTGGCACATGTGGCAACTCCAGCTATTTTCTCTTTCTTCTTTTAATTCGCAATTCTATCTTTTCTCTCTTTCTTAACCGTCGTGTCTTTGTTTTTCTCCCTCAACACTGAAACAAACTGAACTACTGGCCACAGACAGTCGTTTAATTTCAGTCGTGTTTTTAGTTTCAGATACTTTGCAACGTGATGTGACGGCGTGACATGGTCGATAGCGGATGATTCGCGAATCAAAGTTATAAAAGTTAATCGAAACTGATTTAAAACAGAAAAAAATAGAAAGAAACAAAAACATACTGTGCAAAGGAATTTTTTTTGCCCTAAAAAGAAATTAACCTCATTTCATTCAAAAGTGAAGTTGAAAAATTTTTTTGTAAAACGAATTGAAAATATTATGTGTGAAAAAGTGCATTCCAGACGACAGTGTGTTTGCTAACTTGGCCCAAATCAATTGCAAGTGTATGGCAGTGCAACAAAATTCTTTACGAAATAATAAAACGCGTGAGTTTTCGATTTGTTCTCAGTCGCCGCGGACGCCGACGTGCGTTTGACGTCGTATCTTGTTGTTTAATAAAACAAAATCAAATAAGAAAAAGAAGCAACCAACTAAAAGCAGAAACCGTAAAAAAACGAAACGAGTCATCATCATTATAAAATTTTAAGTTGTTTTTGTGTTTAATTTTTCATAACAGAAGTTGAAGAGAAAGAAACAAATCAGACAACTAAACTTCAGCAGAAAAAAGGTAATGAACCAAAACTAGCAAAACGAAGAAAAAACAAAAACAAGTTGAAGACAATCACATGGAAAAGTTCATAACAGTGTCAAATAAATTGAATGAATTTAAGTTTTGCCAGCAATTGTGCTTTGAAGAAATTTAAACAATTCTTTTGTTAGAGTTTTCATTGCTCCCAATTAGAAAAAAAGATCATACTTTCTTTGGTTGTTGTTGTTGTCGCTATTCTTGTGTTCAAATTTGTATTGTGTTGCTTTGCTTTTAGTGGGGACAGAGACTTTTTCCCCTCGTTGTCGTTGTTTAATTGTTGTTGGTGTTTTCATAGTTTCCTCTTCCACAATTATTTGTTTTTGTGTGGTTGTGCTTTGCATTGTCATACATGCCGTTTGTATGACGTTGGGCCTGTAGGTTGAGTTGTTGTTGTGGTTGTTTAAACTCGTGTTACTTTTGTTGGTGTTGTTGTTTTTATTTTCAACGTGAGTGTGTTGTGTTTTCGTTGTTGCTGTTGTTGACTTTTTGTCATTTTGGTGCAAGCTTGGACAGTGTGTTTGTGTGTCTGCCGCTGCTGCTGCTGCCATGAGAACAAAAAATTATGGGGAAAAATGAACTGATGCAGCAACATCATCGCCTCCACACAACCACCACAAGTAGCAGGAACAACACCATCAGCTGCAGCAGCCAACAGCGACAGCAGCAAAATATAAGAAGTACAAAACATCAGCAGTAGCAACAACCACAACAAAGCAATAACAACAAAAAAATAAAACACACAAAGTGCAAAGTGTCATTCACGCGACACAAAGAGGCCTACCAACCAACGAACCGAGAGAGAAACCTGAAATACAAATCGAAACGGAACGGAACAGAGAGCTAGGGAGAGAAGAAAGAAAGAGTGTGAGATAATAATAAAAAGGCACATAGGCAAACATAAAAAAGCATACGAACAAAAAAAAAAACAGATAAAATCATAACAGGTCAGTAATGAACTGGAAAAAAGGCAACCGTAAAGCGAAGCTCCAGCTCCAGCCCACTACATCATGACATGAACGTTAGCAAAGCGGCCGGGCCGGGTCGACCCAACACAACACAGCCAGCCAGCTAAATTAATAATAATGAAATGGAATTAATGAATCTTTAAAAGAATGTGTATTTGTGTTTGTTTGTGAGTTATTCTTTGGCTTTGTTTGCATTCCCATCTATTGTGTTTTTTTATTATTCGTTAGCATGTCACGTCTGGGGGGTTTCGAATTTCTTTCACCGAGAACAAATACCCCCCGCCCGTACCCTAGCGTTGCCGCCCTCTTAACCAGCTGTTTGAAATTCTGCTGAAATGAAAATGCAACCTGAGCTAATAAAAAAAAATGTTTTGCATATCCATTGTGAGCGAGCGAGCGACTGACCGGTTATTGCCATTACGTTGTGCCGAATTATTTCATTTCATAATTTTGCGTTAATTATTTGAAGGGTATTTTTGGGAATTTTAGACATTTGCCCAGTTAATAAATTTTCATCTCCTGCCTAAAAATTAACAGAATTTCGGAAACAGAATAGAATTCGGAACAACTCTAAGTTAGTAAAAACTCTTCGATTTTTTCGAAACAATTTCCAGAGATAGTTGTTTTTGCCCTGATTCCGGGAAATTATTTTTTTCTTGGGGGACGGACCTGGGACCCCTGTTTTTTGACTTGAAATTCAAGACCCGGGCTAGAACAGGATCCAATATAGACAATATATGTCGGGTTATTTATAAGCAGTTCGGAATTTATAGTCAAATTATTTTTTGGACCCGGATTTCTTATAAAACCCCCAAAAAGTCGACAAAAGAACCATATTGGGGGTCAACAAAAAATTTGCAAATACTGTGTCAATATTTTAAATATTAGCTGAGATCAGTAGCATTATATATTTGATTTATGGAAGAAAAATTCAAACCTTTATAATTTGTAAAGAAAGTTAAATTTTGATGGACAAGATGTTATAAAAAATGTTCGAAAGTATCACTCGCCACATACGTATGTGCCTTTAATTTTTATATCCTTCCCAAATGATATCAGCATAAAATTCTATATCCATCAAGATGATAAAATTGTACTCAAATGAATTTTAAGTTCATAGAATAATAATACCTAGCAAAAAATGCAATGCATTATATCCTTCATATAAGTGTACTTTCGGATTTTCAGAATTTTAAAGATTTCGGGCCGATTTCCAACAAAATGTGCTCATATTTGGCATTTCCGTTTTAAGGTGTTAAGTTTAACTCACAAAAAAATATTCAACTGTTCCTCCTAATTTTCGGTATTTTCAAAGTTTTGGATCTCAAAAATAGGTTATGTAGGTAAAGCTGTTATATGAGGAACTTAACAATTTTAGGGATAATTGATTTTAACACAATTGAAGTTTTTCCATGGTGTAGGGTTTAAAATTTGTAAATTTTTATCATGCTTTATAATGCCTTTTATAATGTGTATATCAGACAGTGAATCCGTATAGCTCGTACTGGTACTGGAGTCGGTGCCGGTTCAAAACATAACAAAAATAATATGATAAGGACAATACGAAATCGTTGATTTTCATCTTTTATGGTAATCATTGGGGAAAAGGAGCTTATGTTTCCCCTTTGAAACTTGATAAATTTGATATATTTCAAAAAAATAATGCTGTTCGCGATTTAATCCTTAGAGGACATACTACGGCTTACGAGTGATTGAGCATTTTTTTTTCTACTTTTTTTCGTTTTAAGGAAGTTCACGAGTAAATCTCGGTAGAAATATTGGTTAAATTTTGGGTAGAATCTGAGAATATTTTCAAATTTTATGCTAATTATTACTATTCGCAATTGTATCCATTATTGGTGGATGTACTAGAAAGTCTGGAATTTCAATTATTTGCATTTGAATGCAGATATTACAAATTTTGGAAATAGTCATGGACATGTTATGACGTTTTTGAGGTAGTCACAGGAAAAAATACTTCTAAATATTTTCCTCTTAATATTAGCTCTAGTAGCAGGGTCGAAGAAAATTTGGCATTGATAGCATATTTTATGGCAGGAGTTATTATTCCATAAGCGGTTTTTGTGATAGAAATATTTTTATGTGACCCTAAGCATTATATGAAATACATTATATTTCATTTTGAAATGTTTGTTGGTGGTGCCAGAATCGGTTGATGAGAGATGAGTTGAGAGTCATTGAATGATACACATTTGTTCATATCAAAGAGCAAAGCCTTGGCTAAGTAGACAAATAATAAAGCCCATACTTTAAAAAGCATAATTTTTCCAATAAAAATAAATTAATTAAAATTAAATAAAAATGTCTTGGAATATAGTTTTCATTCAATGTAATCTATGGTCAAATCTATTTATTTTCGTCATAGAAAAACCTTCCCCCAATCAAAGTAGATGTCCATAGAAAAGAGAATAAGTTCATATCGGAGAGGAGGAGTACAGAAACCAAGCGAATTACTCTCAAGTTGAGAAGAAACGAAAGATACATTTAAGCAGGGGTGCTCAAAAAGAAATATCTCTTTTCAGTCAAATTTCTCTTTGATTATTTAAATCAAGAACAAAACAGTGTTAAGTCATTATTTATACAAATATTTTGTATCCATATGTTTTATAAATTATTTTGGCAAACATTGTGTTTAAAAACAATTAAATAGAACCGTAAAATATAAAGAAAAACAGCATTTTAATTTTCTCTTAAATTATCTCTTTTTTCTCTTCATGTTCTAGAACACGGTTTTGAGCACCCCTGATTTAAGTCATTTCAAAATAAATTTGTAACAAAAAGAGCAGAGAAATAATAACGTAATTTTCCGAGCAATGCATTCTCAGAAAATTCAAAAAATCTCGTGAGTTCGAAATTTTTTTCCACAAAGGGCTTTAAATTGAAAATTACGTGATTCCAAATATATTTACTTATATTGTCAGTTTTAAATGTTAAGGGCCAAATTATGCATGCTATACACCTAAATCATATTTTTTATGTACAGTGTACCACTATTTTCCGCTTAATTTGGATTTGATAAAATTGAGCTTTGAAATTTTACTTTTTGTGTCATAATATTGAAAATGGTCATATCGCTGTATATTTCTATATAACCAGATTTGAAGCATCAAATGAAGACTTTCCTTGCAAATAATATAAATATAGGTACGCTACACGGCGTCGCCTCCATATTCGTACTTTTTCTCACGATTTTACTTATATCCAGACTCCTGCATCTGCAGTTAACCGGTTTAAAGGTATGACTTTAAAATATGACAATCCTAAGGGTAATCTCTGTAGACATTTGACAATCCTAAGAGTAATTTCTGTAGACATTTTGAAATCTACAATTTTTGTTAACAGTGTCTTTTTTGCAACCCCAAAAATTAAACAAGTAAAAAAATCGGTGAATAATGTAGCTAGAATTATCCAAATACCGAATATATTATGAAGACGTGGACCTGCACAGACGATTTTGTGTCTTAGGCTGTTGTATCCATTATGAACTTCATTTACCAAATTTGAAACATTTCCGGTGAAAAATATCGCTTAAATCACCAAAATACCGAAAATAGAGAGGTATGACAAACTTAATATACCCTCCTTACTATGGTGGAGGGCATAAAAAAATTCAAATTTGACCCCGAAAAAACTTGATAATGGTCGACAACAGCACTCAAACGAAATTTCGGTATTTAAAGAATTGAGTCATGGTTCCCTTGGACCAAAGGTATATTGATCTTTGCACAATCCAAGGGGTTCTTATTTTTTACCGCATATAGTCAAAAAATTTTAATTTGGCTCTATTCAAAAATATTTTTTTTTGGATTTGTATATTTATGCAATGTTTCCAAATTCCTTCCCAGGATCCTCCAAAGTATATGAGCAAAGCCACTTATAACCGAGGCCTTGTTATATTGTCCCCCCATTCTATGAACTTTTCTTTGCGAAATTGCTACAGAATGTATTTACATTTCATTATATTGTAATAAATCACTGGCATTCTATAGGCAT